TTGCATTTTTTCACGTCTAGGGTTTATTTGTGCTCTAGTAATTCAATTAACATTGTGTGAGTGTATTAAAAGAAAAATAAGAGCCTGAATATCTGCCAGGCTTGATGTTCTAACAGAACAGAACAGAACAGAACATGTTATATAACATGTGTCATGTTATGTTATATAACATGTATCATGTTATGTTATATAACATATTTCATGTTATGTTATATAACATGTGTTATGTTATGTTATATAACATATGTTATGTTATGTTATATAACATAACATGTTATATATAACATACAGAACAGAACAAGTGTCATGTCATGTTATATAACATGTGTCATGTTATGTTATATAACATTATGTCATGATATGTTATATAACATATGTCATGATATGTTATATAACATGTGTTATGTTATATATAACATGTGCCATGTGATGTTATATAGCATGTGTCATGTTATGTTATATAACATATGTTATGTTATGTTATATAACGTAACATGTTATATAACATGCTATGTTATATAACATAACATAACATATGTTATGTTATGTTCTCTAACATAACATGTTATATATAACATGTGTCATGTTATGTTATATAGCATGTGTCATGTTATGTTATATAACATGTGCTATGTTATGTTATATAACATGTGTCATGTTATGTTATATAACATATGTTATGTTATGTTATGTTTTATAACATAACATGTTATATATAACATATGTCTTGTTATGTTATATAACATATGTTATGTTATAACATACAGAACAGAACATGTGTCATGTTATGTTATATAACATTATGTCATGTTATGTTATAAGACATAACATGTTATATAACATAACATGACAATGTTATATAACATATGTTATGTTATATTATATAACATAAAATATGTTATGTTATGTTATGCCACTTAAATTGTATTTCATTTCAATGCAATTGTGAAAATTTCGTTTTATTTGCTTTGGGTGAGAAATATAAAACTGCACTTATTTATTAAACAGATCATAAACTTCTCAGTTGAAGAAACCCTCTTTATTTGAACCATGTGATAGATTCTATTTTTCGTAGCTGTGGAAACGTGTTGTATTTATTAGGCTCTCGCCCATACAAAGAAGGTTATCAGGTATCAAGAATAACTCATAAAGGGTGTCAAGGGCATTTACCCAGCCCTCTTGCAAAGTTTTCCAGTGTTTCAAAATTGAAGATTTTCAGAGTCGTATCATCGAATGAATGAACTTCTTTTGATTTTTGCATGACGTAAAAAAAAAACTGTCTCCCAAAAATAGCCAGGCCACTTAAGTTTGTTGTTTTCTTTTAGAGCTATTGTTCTTTTTGCGGGATGCAAAAACGAAATGAAAAAACTGTCGTCATCCTAATTACCTACTTGCCTTTTGAAGGCAACCTCATGTGAGGGACTTAATGTTTCAATTCAGATTGTTGAAATGTTTTCCACAGCAAAGAAAGTTTGCTAAAAACGCACAGTATATAAGAGCTGGGACAGCAGTGGAGTAAGGGGGCAGCGGCACGAGGGAAAGAGGGCGTTCCCCATCCCATACTAAAGCTTGTTCAGTCACCCCCGTTTGTGAGCCTGAATTACTCTCAACAGGCTATTCAAAGACATTCACAAGTCGATTTGTTGAAGTGCAAAGAAGAGACAACTTACAGGTAATATTATTTTTAGGCCAAGATGGTTCGTTTCTCACTGTGCCCGATAATCACTCTTAGAAAGGAAAAGAGGAGGAAAAATAGCGAGAGCAGGGAAAATAATATAAGCTTAAAATGACGTATTGACACTTCACATTTGCACTGTTCAGCTCTTCTTGAATCATAGTTTATCAATTTCAGATATCTCCTCTTAAGAAGTAAAATATTTAAATTGAGACATTTTCAACAGCAGCGACAGTTTGGATATGGAATCCCCCTAGTTTCTAGAGAATGCTAAGAAGACCTCTGAGACTTCCTGCTTAATATTCTATAATTTTAAAAAAAGAGAAACAAAAAAATATTGTAAATGCGAAATGATTTTCCACAAATAACAAAAGAAAAGGGTTGCGAATTCCGCATTCCGGATTCCAGATCCCACGCGTTCCACAAACCCTACAAAAACATGGCCGACAGTAAATAAGCTCACGTTCACCGCCTTCTCTCTCTTCTTCGTTTGGTTAAAACCACAGCCACATGGAAAACAGTGATTGAAAGTATGCAGTCTTTAGGAATGGACAATTTTCGAGTGGCATATACCCGATTTCTCGCTTTCTATCCTGACAATCCTTCTGGACTTCACGATGCCGAAACGCCTGCGAAATGGCAAATAAAGTAAGGCAAATTTTAAAGATAAAGGCTCAATTAAATCAACTAGTAAATTGGAAGCTTTGGGTCGGATTCTTTTATCCGGAGCAATCGGTTGAGTTTTGACAAAATTTGCATATTTCATAAGCATCTCAGGTCCTCGTGTGGCGCCGAAAGAAAATTCGTTAAAAAAAATTTACAGAAGCGAATTTCTCCCATCTAGTTTCATATTTGTTATATACTTATTAAAAGAAGTCTACAGAAAAATTATGAGCGAAATCCATTTTGTGGGTAAAACTCGATATGAGGATCTTACAGAGACTGGCACTTAAAGTGAAATTAAAAAACAAAAAAGCCATTGGTCACATTAAGAGATGCCAACCTTGTAAACACCAGGAGTCCTCAACCAATCCCTCGTCGTCTTTGGTTTCCTCTTTTCAGATCCTCCAGTAATCGCAGATTTACACGATTTATCACTGGATTCATCTCCTGTCTCTTTTTTCTCAGATCCGTTCTCTTGCAGCTCAGATAAGCTCACTTTTCTCTGCGTCTCTTCGTCTGAAAATGCTGTCATCTCTGAATCAAAAGGATAAATTCCTGAATTACGGACTTCATTCCTTTCCGGAACAGAGAAACTCACTTTTTTGCCCGTTGTTGTTTCTGTAAAAGCTGACTTTTGTTTTTCGAAACCATGGATAATGGCATCGCCTTCACCGGCAGGCTGAATGGCCTCTTCTTCGTTTATTGTTCTCATCTCCAGCCCACAGGTTTCATTTTGGTAACCAAGGTTGTGTATTCCAAGCTTAAAGACTTCTTCTGGAGCCAAAGACATGCCTCTTCTCCGACGCCGGCTATATACTCTGTCAGCACCATTTAAATCATCTTCTCTTGTTTTCATATTTTGAGCTTCATTTCCCTCCATTATTTCTGTATTTTTCGTTCCGTTCATGTCAGTAATATGAGCAAAGATTAACTCACTGGGAAAACTAAAAAGTAAAATGAAATAAAATACGCTCATACAAGACTCTTTCAGGTGCGAGATGGCGATGTACAAAACTCTGAAAAGTGCAGTCGGTGATGATGAGGCTGTGGATGGGAACTGATTGGAAATCCCTCAACCTTTCATTAAACAACTGTCACTTTATGCACGTCACCTTAGGCACTAGTCCTGGGTACCAGCGTAAAATTGTGTTATAATGTGCCCATATTTACCCCAATTTGCCCTGTCAGACGTCATTTTAAAACGTTAGCGTAGCCGGGAGAAATGCGGGTATCCATAGCAGTGGATTGCCACGGAAGTAACAGTAAACTTGTGCGCACAGGTCGTTGCGACCACTTTGAAGCCTAAGAATACGGTCCTGCTTTCGTACTCAGGAACCGTCACGTGGGTACTTGAAAAAGCGGGTGTTCAACTCAAGAAAAACGCTTACCATACAGTACAATCTGTCGCGTCTTCAAAAATGTTCGTATTCTGCTTGTTACTTTCGTTTTCAAGATCCACTTTCCCTTCTTCGGCCGTAATGCTAGTCGCTTCCGGTTGCCTTTGACTCTCTTTATTAAGAAGCCCGTCTACTAAGCGAAAGACGAGACTCTGTTTGCGATCCTGGTCCAGTCTTGCTACGTGGGTTATCAGATCTACAGGAGAAATAACAATGGGACGTTCGTATAATGACGTCATTTCGCTTTAACTACCAGAACGCCTGAGGATTCTCATCCCTTGTAAATTTTGCCTCAATGTTTTCTAAATGTCACTAGGATTACTTGGTTTGTACTTTATTATAGTTGAATAGAATATATAGTGCGCTAAGCCGAGTCACTGTCCTTTTGAAATGACGTTTATTTAGTATACGTCACAGTATCCGCTAAAGTTGATGATACATCGATCGAACATTATGTCTGAATATTTGCATTTAAAGCCAGAAAAAATACCCGCTCATCGAGAATGTAAGAAGAAAACATTATAACGCAAATACCATTCTACATACCGCTTCCGAGTTTCTCTCGATTACTTGACACTCCTGATTTGACTTCGGAAATTTGAAGTTTGTCCTCTGAATCTTCATGACTGTTTCCACCGCCATTTGAAAAGAGAGCTTCCACAAATCGTTGTACCACACTTATCTTTTTAGATGCTGCTTTAGCAGTTGTTGTGTTGTCGACAACTTCCGTGTTTTCCACCGAAGACATAAAAATGCCAACAAGGGAATGGACTATGGTCGAAGTTTTCCTCTTGGCATCTTAAAAGAATTTTTTTTTTTAAAAAAATTCAATTTTCCCTGTACCTTATTAACAGGACCTGCAGTCTTTCGTCTTATTACTGATTCAAAGAGATCGTGTTCAAGTACCGAGTGCCTTTTAACTGAAAGAGGTAAAAAGACATCCCCTCTCTTTCCTTGATATTACCTTCCAATATTACCCGATGTTGGCCCGTGATGTTAAAGAAATATTTTTGGATATCTTTTTCTTTCCAGGATCCCTCCAGATCAGGAGGCCATAATGGGAGCTATTCTTTCTTGGTTGACTTCATCGTCTACTTCTTGTCGCAAAGAATTTATCGAGAAGGCAGGATTGGTGCGGAAGAGCGTTTTGGCTGCTTTTTCACAGCATCTGCACGTAAGAATCTAAGAAGCCTAAGGACCCGTTTCTCGAAAGGCCCAGTAACTTTTCGGGTCTGAAGGCAAATTTTGAAATCAAAACCTGTTGAATATTAGCAAAGTTCCAAACTCACAAACTGGTTAATTTTGTTCGCTAACAGATAGTTTCATTGCATCGTTTTCAAAATTATTGAAACTTTGATCTTGAATGCAAACACAGCAAACATAAAGTTATCGGGACTTTCGACAAACGGGCCCCAGACCCTTACTCGGTTGTTACTTGTGACGCGTAACAATGAACATACTGTAAGCAGTTAAAGTAACTTACAAGCGTAGCTATTGTTTTAGAGTATGAAAACAATAGCAACACTTGTAAATTACACTTGTAAAAGTTTTAATAAATTGCCCTGCTGATGTACGAGTGTGTGCTCCATCTTAGGTATCGTTCCATCGACAAAGTCTCCTTTTACCGACAAATAAGACCTCAATATACTAATATTAACGTTACTCATGTCTCAACGTACACTGCGAGGTGAAAGTAAAGTAGAAAGATTGGAACTAAAGGTAGAGTAATCTATTTCATTCAACTCACCATCAACTTGTTCGAAGACCATTGAATAAACAGACTGGCTAGCCTGAAATAATCCTTCACCGTTCTGGCCAAAGATAAAAACGATTTATTCATGTCACAAAATTGCCATCACTGTGAAACTCTTCTGGAGACAATTCATGGTCGACGTGACAAAAACTTAGATATTTGCACTTGCCGACATGCAAGAGTAGGTATTTGATTAATTGGTACAAACTCTAATTGTTTTAAGTACGGTGATATTTTCTAACAAAGAGAGATGGGCATCCTGGGGAGATGTGTCAAAGTGGACATTTTTTTATTACCAAGTGCTAGACGGCTTTGTGGCGAATTGTGACATGTGATCGGACTTAGTTACAGGTAATATAAAGTGCGATGACTACTACAAATTGCAACAGCACTAGGTATTTAACAATTATTCCTCGAGCTCGAATGGGCTCTGCGTCAATAGCCCATGAGACTGAAGGCCGAATGAGCTATTGACTCATCAGAGGCCATGAGGGCGAGAGGAATAATTGTTTTAGTAAAATCCAACTGGTTTTTCAAAAATATCGAGACAAAACAACTTAAGCTACCAAAACGTGATTCAGCCGCCATTGTTTTGGTTTTTAAAGCCGGCGTTTGTCGCTACTAGTGGGCTATAGTATATAGCCTAGAAGTAGCTCAACCAATCAGAACGCAGCATTGATAATTAATAGACCACTAGTTGGAGTTTACTAAAATGAGATACAACTGAGGGGTCGAGGTGAATGCAATCGGTGGACGAAAAAGGGGGGACCATGGCTTAAGCTCTCATGAAAATCAATGTGAATTAAGAGAGATTATTCTCTCTTGTGTTGATACATACATATCAGGCAAACCTTACAACAATATCAACGTCTCATAATTTAGCAGGAAAAGTCCATATAATGCCGGACTAAATGTGATGTTATAAGCATGGATTCGCCACAACAATTTTCAGCGCAAAACAAGGAGCGTTGCAATGAAACAATGTTGGAATCATTCGAAACAATATCGCAACAAGGTTACAACTACGCTTTCTTGCGATAAAAATCGTGGTTGCGAATCGTCCATGGCCAGGGGCTAAGAAAGATGGCTAGACGTCGAGGACAGAGCAATCGATATCTTATGTTGCTTCATACCACTGGATCCATGAGTGTGCTGATCTTTCTTAGAGGGCGTACGACTGGTTCCTTTGTTCCAATATAGAAAATGGTTGTAAAGACTATTCCTGTACCAGTGACAATCCATGCAAGATTCTGTGTCGAAAGGGAAAGAAATATAATTAAAACATTGGAAAATAATTTAAATACGATTTTTTTGAATTTAAATATAGTGTTATTTCAGTTTAAACTTTTATTGCTGATACATACCTAAGAATACTCTAGGAAAAAGTTTTTAGGTTTTTTGAAAAATGAATTACACCTGCTTCACTAGCTAGTTATAAAAAAGAATGCAGGCACCATAAAAAACGTGCCTTTGGTTGGGTGCCGGAGCAATATGGTATTATGAATTCAATATCATCATCATCATCATTAATCCAATCAATTAGATTGCTTCGGTTCATTAATGCAATTTCCATATCGTCACTTTATTTATGTATACTTACCGCAAACTGTGCTACACTTTCCGGCCCCAGATCGTCTCCGCCATCCTGACCAAGCAGTCCCCAGGCAACCACGTAAACGTATATTCCACTAACGAAACTAAGGACTGTCCTATATAAGAAAAAAAAAGGGTCGACCTTTACGGCATAAATTCTGGATGAGGGTATCTTTATTCCTATATACCACGTCTGGGTATAAAATTCTCTTGAACCGAACTTACTCACTGACGTTATTGTAGCCTGTCAGATCAGCTGTCATTTGAGATTCATAGCGAAAAAGAAACAAGGATTTGACAAGTAAGAAAAGGAGAGGCAAAAATGTGCACTCTTCAGTTTATGCTGCGTTGATTTTCAATATACACTCATAACCACTGGTGAGATCACATTCAGTCAGAGAATGGAATCCAAAAAATCAGAATCAAGAAATTGTGAACAAAAGAAAATAGTGTTATTGCTGTTAACCTTATAGCAGTTAACGCTGCGCCTTCTTGCACTGTCCCAGCTGCAGTGAAGGTGATTGAAAGATGATTGATCTCCAAAATGTTGTATGCCGCATTGATAATAACCATGACACAATAATAGTAAAAAGGTTGCAACCAACTGACACCCTGATAATCGTTGCATACTAAACACCGATTAAACAGAAGAGGAAATCCACCGGCCATCATAATCGTTCCCACTAAGTGCCACGACTTCCTTCGACCCAGCTTTTTGGAAATAAATGGAATTTGAACACGGTCGCCCAAGAAACCAGTTATTGGAGAGGTAAAGGCGTCAGTTATATATCCAATAAACATAGCCAATCCGGCTTGGGATGCCGATAAACCAATCACTTGCATCAAAAATATGATGGAAAAAGACATGTACATTTGGTTGACAATTTCGTTGAGAACGTTCCCGAGGCCACAGGAATAGCGCTGTTTGATGTTTAACTTGGATTTTTGATGGTTCTCCATCGCTGAATTCAACTGTAAAATATTAACATATAAATGAATTTTCTTCCAGTACATAAGAGTGCCGTAAGGGGTAGCTGACTCTGTAAACTGAGGAGCTTCGATAGATGAAGTTCATCATGTTCCGGCGGAAGTTGAGCAAGCGTAATAATCCATTGTAATATATAACACTTTCTATACAGGCTGAGCTTATTTAACCGCCAAAATATTTCAATGCAAAAATCGACCTCAAAAATGCCCAGAAAACGAGGTTTTGAATATTAATATATTTAACAAAGAAATCCTGGATGGTAGGCAGCAATCATTTTGCGGTTTCATATTTTCGGGTCAGTTTGCATTAGATTTTCATAAAACTTGACATTTCACTAAATGAAGTTTGATAAATCGACCTATGAAGAAGTGTTTTTGTTTCAGTGCCTAAAAGTATTAAAATTGCAAATATTTTTGTGCCGAGAACTCTTTAATAATAAACCATAGTCACTCTAGTCGCAATTCGATACGAAATATCCAGATGATATGAGAACAAATAGCATCTTTAGGACATAATTGATATAGAATTGAAAGTTGTCACAACGTTTGATGTTTGAGTTTCGCCGGAATGCACAACGGTGACGTCCTTGGACGTTATAACTAAGAAAACCTAGCCACTTATAAAATTCTTTCGTACTTGATTAGGTCGCTTATATTTACGTTGTGGAGCTGAAGTATTTACTAGTAAATATCCCTCAACTGAGCGTGTAACAACACTGAAACACTAATGGCTTACTATAATTACGTAGCACTTAAATTTGTGTGGATTTATGTCTTTTCATCAACACAATGTGATTCGAATTTCTTAAAACAGCCATCTGAAGTTTTTCTTACTAGTTGAAGAATGTTTCTCAAAACCTGTTTAAAAAGATCTTTAATGGCTCGTTCTAGCGACTTAATTTTTTCCAAATATCAGAAACAAATTAGAATAAATTCTTGGCTCGGTGTCAGACTGAGAACTAAGTTAAAATGAAATCGGAGCGGTTGGATTATATCTGCTTGCCTAGATGTTCCGCACAACAAACCTCGTTTTTAAAGTGACATTGTCAATTGAAAGTGATTCAATTAAATAAACTGTTAAAGTCAAATTCAAAAAATCAGTTAAAATTTAAGAATCTGACTCACCAATGTAGCCGTCTGTTTGAGTGCAACGTGACTGAACTGACCTTGAAAGGCTGGTCTGAATTTTAAATTAAGTGCAAGTGACGCGAGTTTCGGCTTTTTTTGGACTATTTATGTCTCGCCCATTATCATGTGAAAGAGTTTCTGAAATTGGAGTGAGAGGTTGGTCAATCATACTAGGCTAGCGTTAATCTAACGTCCACGTCCTGTTAACGTTCGTCTCTCAAAAAAGTCTTTGCTGTAAGCTCCTTGAAATCGAGTTTACCGCGGCCCTTCTCAATTAAGGCTGGTCTCGCTTATAATAAAGTTAACATTCAACAAACATCTGCATGGTACTCGTTTTAAAACTGTCAGCTGAACGTCTGAGAAACGACAGCTGCATGAGGCCCAGAAGACGTAGGAAATTGACTGATTTTAAAAGGGACAAACGTTTAAGGGCGAGGTGGACATTAATAAACAGAAATTCCAACGTTTACATGATCCTCATATTTGTTAATATTTTTTTAAAAAGTTTTCAACATAATTTTTAACGTAATTCATATATTAATCAAACAGTCATAACTCAGCAATAAATCAGTTTCTTCAGGTAAACTATGAAAACCGACTGGCTCACACTGGTAGGTTAGTCTTCCTTCTAGCGCTTAACCAAAACTTTCTTCGAACACCCACAAGTAATCCTGCTCGCAGGCTAAACCGATGAGAGGGGTGTGATTGTCTGACCGAAATTTGCGACTAATATCTTCACTGTGCGCGATGAAGATACGATTTTTTAGTAAAAGGAAAAATCCTGGTATTTCATCAGTATCTATATATAATAAAGACATATTTTTATCCCTTAAAATTTTTCATCTGTTCGGATTTCCTAGCTTATAATTATAGGGATCAAAACTTGCCTGTTCGAAAATTTCAGCCAGAAAAAAAGGTCCTGCCCAAAAAATCTAGGTGACCTTTTTAGGGTAAAAATCCGTTAAAAATGGGCAATTATAGCAAAAAATTTTACAACAAATGTTCCGAAAATTCTAGATCTCAAATCGTCTTCCGAACAGATATTTTCCGAAAATGGACGTTGGGTGCCCCTGGCTAATTGCTTGACCTATACATTAGGTCTTCCGATTCAGTCGGTCAGTCATATGTGATAAGAACATGAAATACTAGGGGGATTTAGGATCGGGGCATAGAGCCAAGGGAAACTTCAATTCGTACGTGCTTTCCCTTAGTTAACTGTTCTTTAATTTATTTTGTGTTTTTTTAGGGTGTTTTTTTTGCCTAATTCTTGCAAGAGTCACGCCAAGTGATTCTGTGGTCAAGTCTTATCAAATGATATTCTAATTTATACGTAAACCTTCTGCTAAGATGTCTAAACAAAGAATAATAGTTACAATCCGTTTTAATCTGGGAAACTTTCTACCGAAGTATTTCAAAAACAGCTGGAGAAAATCTTCATGTTGTAATCTCTGCCTTTTTCCGATAAAGCGTCAAACGGCAGAGGGCGAGCGGGAAACGGCCGTATACTTGAGGCTTGGAAGTCATACGAATGTCTTTATTGATCATACATCCCGGGTTGTCGTCAAAGAAAGAATACCGTGAGCACCAAAATATGAAGAAATAAAACCTAAAAATAAACAAATAAACAACGTTAAAAGCACTGTTTACATCTGCGAATGTAAAGTTAATTTGAAATATTGCATGATGATATCATGATATGAATGATAAAAATTAAATACTATACCTCCGACTGCCTTCCGACTCCGAAATTTAGATAATGCGCCTGGTTTATTACAACCATATTATTGGGTTTTAATTGTTTCCTCTAACTTATACCAAATCGCTTCAACTTATAAGACATACTAACTAACGTAATAAACGTGACTCTCAAGTTTCAAGTCCCAAACTTGACCAACAACAAGTTTCTCCCAACAAAATCAATACACAACCAAGGGAAATGGTTATGAGAATTAGAAAAATGATCGCCTAAAGGGAAATGCTCTGATCTGTTATCAAATTATTGTTCTTAGCTAATCTTTTAAGGAAATTTATGGACATCAGCTTGGAGAATTTGTACTGTGCCTATTATAATGGGTCAATACATAACAGTAATGCAGTATTTGATGAAATAATTGATGAACTTTTTACAGCCTAGCGAATCCTGCGGGCTAGTGATTCGGCGTCCATTTTTTTGTTCCGCTCAAACTTGATCATTAGGACTTTAATTGGAGGGACAGAGGCAAAATTCTGACTTTCATCTCAAAAGTAATCGATGAGGCTGTGTTTTGTCAGTTTGAGTACTTTGAGAGACTGAGCTCATTAGCCTGCGAGAGCATCCGGGTTTTTCGGCTCTAGTTTCGAAGGGAGAAAAAAGACGACCGGGAATACGTCTGCGGTTCGCAGGCTATGAGTTCATTGGCCGGTTTGCCTGACACAATTTGGTGTTCCTCAACGTTCGGTTCTAGGGCTCTTTTAACATCTTTAATATAATTCCCCTTGGGAGGGCAGTGTTCAAAAGATGAACGAGGCGTTATAAACCTTGTTGTTTCACAAATTTATTAAATTTCAAGCTATTATGAACTATGCTACGCTAATTTCTGAGTTATCAAACAGTAGTATGATCACATAACGATTTCCTTTTTCGATCAAGCTTCCTTGAAATTGGTTCCGAGTCAGTTCACTGTTTTAAGAAAAACTAGCAAGACGATCGAGTAAGCCGCGTCCTCTACTGAACCTTGGTTAGGTATAAAAACGAACTTGTCGTCCAGCGAAGAAGCCAAAATTGAATGGCTGTTATTTCAGTGTGCAAATGGTAGCTGGATAGGATTCTCTTCAGTTTTGTCCAGATGTTCCAAAAGGAACTCGGCGTCCTTCTAATCTCTCTCAGGTTCTACGACAACGTTGAATGATTGAACGTGACTTGCTTCTGATTGATCACGAACTTGAGCATTTTCATCAAGTGAATATTCTACAAGAAAAACAAAGAAACAAATAAAACAAGCAGTGTGCCGTCTACAATGAAGAGATTAGATTGAATTAGATGTTCCTAAAATGAACAACGCGTTAATTTGTTAGACAAGACAAGACAGCAATTTTATTTATACCACACACCGAAAAAAAAAGACATTAAAAAACAGACACTACTACTTATGTTAGGTACAAGCCACCTGGAAAATAGCTAAAAAGCTAATCTAGCTAGGAGGTATTATAGATTAATTAAGAATATTAAAGAGGTTGTTTCATGGAGACGTAAGTGGAAACGCCCCCATGAACTGCTCACTGCTCCTCTTGTTCCGTTTCCGTACACGATCAATGCCAGGGATGTAAGATCCAGAAAATTTAGAAAACACTCTGAGTGCATATAGTGATAAATTAAGTTTTTTGAAGAAAAATTCAACTTAAAATTCTATAAAACAAGTAATTTTAGAAAAAAAGAGTGAAGGGCGTGCCTCCCCTTCGGCCCCCTCTAGATACAACCATAATGTATATTTGGGCAAAAGAAATGCAAGACTAACTGAAATTGATGCCTGTTAATTTATTTTAGCCCGGCTGCCAAAACAGCCAATCCTCGCCGCTTGAGAGGCTTCTCCAGGAGAGCCTCTTCTGGCGAAACGTCCCAAGCGGGGTGGAGCGAGGTGAAACGGCTGTTTTGGCAGGCTAGTTAAATTGAAAGAAACGGCCTCTTAACATTATATATCTATAGCACAAGCAAACGACAGCTAAACGACAGCATTAGGCTGAAAGGCTGATGTAAAACAATCCATACAGGGCGGCCTAGCAAAGGAGATAAAATTCGATCATAATTTCATTTACAAACTGCATTGACATAATCAGTGTCCAGAGATGATTTTTGTCATATTGATTGTGTTTATTGTACAGAAGCTACATCTTAACCAACTTAGGTGATGATAAGACATAATTGCATGGGAAGCTTTGAAACTGCGCGTACCAACCTCTTTTTGTACGACATGAAGGTGGACGGAAGAATAAAACCATCAGCGAGCCAGCAAGCGCCAATAGAGCGGGAACTACAGAAAATACATGATGCACGTAGTCGCTTTCACTCAAACTGGACGTAGAGCTATAATAAAATAAAATAATTATAAATAACTAAAAATCGCCCTCCAGGCATTTTTTCTTGCGCGCTTTTGGCTTGACGAACTAGGAATAAAAAGGGACAGCTTTTAGTATATGCCTCAGAAATGACAAAGACGCATTAGGTAGCGGGACATTTTAATCACCCAAATCATGTATATTCTAGCCACCCGTAACCATGGCAATCTGCAGCCTTTCCTTGCATCAAAACAGAGAATACAGTAAAGTTCCAGCCGAGAACAAACGTTCCTAGAAATCGGCACTTAATTAAATTAAATTTTTCACCCGACCACAAAAATATGGATTTTCCAAATTAAGGTAGGAGATCCACTTATAATCTCACCCGTTTTCTGGATAAAACTCTTGTATAGCCATCAGCAAACCACCGCTGGATATTCTCCCTAGAAAAATAATGATGGCGAATGCCGAACCACTAGTTTCCTGTAAAAGACAGCACAACTGTTTCAGATACTTTAAAAAAAAACGCACATACGTTTAACCTGCTGGTAGCTTTATATGTTGAAAGTTTAGGAAATGGCTGTGTTTATAAATAGCTGTGCCTGATCTCTTGATCTGATAGTTCAATCATAGTGGACTCTTTATCAGTTAATTGTGGCACTCTAATATAAAGTCTAAGTTAAAGGGAGACGTGTCCATTTTCACGGTCTTTCATGTGTATTCCGGTTAACCGGAAATCTATTTACGAAAGCAAGTTGGAAACGGGTCTGCATAGATTTTCCCTTTACGTCTTGACGTTTTATTTTAAGAGGGTGACTATAGCTAAAAGGACTTATACAGTTGGATTTTGGCTACAAGGCTCTTATATTATACAATTGTTTTTAAACCAATCAGAACGAGCTAAGTATTTTCATCAGTTTGTTAACCAGGTGGGGACACCTGTAGCGTCTCAGTTATTTTGACCAGTCAATAGGCATGTGACTTTAAGTTATTTTGACCAATAAGAGCGCGTGTCGTCTGTCAGTTATTTCGACCACTTAGAACGCGCGTTGGTTTTCCAGTTATTCTGACCAATCAGAATTTCTTTAGTACCTCAGTTTTTTAAACAGTCAGAAGGCGGGTGGTAATTCAATTATCTTGACCAAAGTATTTAGGTTAAATTTTGTAAAATAAGATAGCTTTGTCTTAAATTACGGTCATTACTCTATTTCCATACAATGTTTGCGTAGGCGCACCTTGTCTGCTTTGACTAGTTCGGCGACGAACGTCAGAGCCATGACGTACATGATGGACATGCCGGTGCCTGTTAGGATTACGGGCGCATATGTGAACAGTTTCAAGTGAGTGGTTTGGAAATAATAGTATACAGATGCACCAATCACCAGAAGTGAACCAATGAGGTAAGTTCCCTGAGGAAAGATATCAAATACAGATCAAAGTCAGGAGCGAGCGGCTGGGTTTGCTCAGCGGGAGTTCCGATAAAAGCCGGTAAGGAGATCGTCTCGCTTAGCAGTGCAAGTTGCAAATATTTTGTTACTCCCTTATTTTTAATTTATTATCAGTTGAACTATTCAACTTGTTACATGTATAGAAAAATTGAAAGGAGGAAAAGCCGCTTACCATGTTTCCCAGTCTGGAGTTAAGTTTATTTGAAATAGTGCTGCCTATTGCTCCGCTAACAAGAAGAACAATGGGAAAATAGGCAATGGATTGCTGCAAAAGAATCGACAAAAAGCTCAAAGTAAAATGAAATGAGAAGAAAATTAACCCTAATTCACTGCCAAATTTAGTAAAAAAGCAAATTCGACCAAATGTTCAAATTTCATTTTGTGAAATTTTGACAAACAAATAGACTTATGTGAAAGAACAGGCAGAGATCTTTCATTTGAATGGTCACATCACAGGATTTCGTCCACAGACTCAAAAGTAAGAGTCACCTTATAAAACTCCATCAAGCTCTCTGACAGTGAACAAATTTAAGGGTTAATGACCCCTTTATGTATAAGCGGTGTGGATGCTATCACATTGAAACATTCAGTCTATCATAGAGGTACTGTTGTCTTTAAGCGCATTTCTGACTTCAATGGGCTTTACACGAATAAGAATAGAATAAATAAAAGGATCTTTAGTCCTAGCCGACAGTGATATAACAGGCAGTTTTGTATATAACAAAGTTAAAATACTTCGAAAAATAATGTTAAGAATAAAGGCTAATGAAAATATTTGCTAAATAAAATGTTTTAAGTTTTGCTTTAAATGCAGCAACGTTTTCTGCATCAATTTTGTCACACAATTCTTGGACGGTTTTCCAGAACTTGTGGTGGAGAACGCTGTCCTCCGTCGATATTAGTTTAGATTTTAAGGCTGGGGTGTATAAATTAGCGAACGGTGTGATGATCGTAGAGCCATTGATGGAAGATACTTCTTAACACATTGGCAAAAAGGGTGCAATCTTGATTATTCGTCTTACCTGCCCAAAGCCCAGTCTTTCTGTCAAGTACAACGGCAAATATGCATAAACCGCATCCTGCACAAGGCGAGAACACGTGACGATAACGGCGACCTAATTAATGAAATAAACTAGATAAATTTGTCAATGACTTTATTTTTTAGTACGATTTTGTTTTAAACAGGGCTAATACCTTACAGCCTTCTTGGGGTCCAATTAATGTATTAAGTGATTGCATTTTTGACAGAAAAATGAAATTTGTTGTTTACTTGTTTGTGTGAACTGCATAAGGTTCTAAACTGACAAAAAGGTTCTAAACTGACGTAAAGGTTCTAAGGTTCTAAACTGACGTAACCAATATTGTTAAACGGTACGCTATTCAGGTATCTTAAGGTGTTGGCAAAGGTTAGCCTTTCGGTATATATAATTGACTCGGTAAATTTACAAATGATGTGATTTTCACACGTCAATCTTGCAGCTTCTTTAAAGGCAAGTCATTTCATAAGGGGATATACCGATAAGACTTAAAGAGAAATTAAAAAACAAAAATGCCATTGGATACATTAAGAGATGCCAACCTTGTAAACACCAGGAGTCTTCAACCAATCCCTCGTCGTCTTTGGTTTCCTCTTTTCAGATCCTCCAGTAATCGCAGATTTACACGATTTATCATTGGATTCATCTCCCGTCTCTTTTTTCTCAGATCCGTTCTCTTCCAGCTCAGATAAGCTCAGTTTTCTTTGTGTCTCTTTGTCTGAAAATGCTGTCATGTCTGAATCCTGAAGAGGATAAATTCCTGAATTACGGACTTCATTCCTTTCTGGAACAGAGAAACTCACCTTTTTGCCCGGTTTTGTTTCTGTAAAAGGTGACATTTGTTTTTCGAAATCATGGATAATTGCATCGGCTTCACCGACGGGCTCAATGGCCTCTTCTTCGTTTATTGTTCTCATCTCCAGCCCACAGGTTTCATTTTGGTAACCAAGGTTGTGTATTCCAAGCTTGCAGGCTTCCTCTGGAGCCAAAGACATGCCTCTTCTCCGACGCCGGCTATATACTCTGTCAGCACCATTTAAATCATATTCTCTTGTTTTCATATTATGATCTTCATTTCCCTCCATTATTTCTGTATTTTTCGTTCCGTTCCTGTCAGTAATATGAGCTAAGGTTAACTCACTGGGAAAACTAAAAAATAAAATGAAATAAAATACGCCGCGATACAAGACTCTTTCAGGTGCAAGATGGCGATGTACAAAACTCTAAGAGGTGCAGTCGGTGATGAGGCTGTGGATGGGAACTGATTTTAAAGCCCTCAACCTTTCATAACAACTGCCACTTTATGCACGTCACCTTATGCTATGTAATCACTCTTGTTGTCTGGATACTCGTTCCTGGGTACGATATAAAATTGTGTTATAATGTGCACATATTTACTCCAATTTGCCCTGTCAGACGTCATTTTAAAACGTTAGCGTAGCCGGGAGAAATGCGGGTATCCATAGCAGTGGATTGCCACGGAAGTAACAGAAAACTTGTGCGGACAGGTCGTTGTGACCACTTTAAAACTAAGAATAGGGTCTTGCTTTTGTACTCTGGAACCGTCACGTAGGTACTTCAAAAAAGCGGGTGTTCAACTCAAGAAATTAACGCTTACCATACAGTACAATCTGTCGCGTCTTCAAAAATGTTGTTACTTTCCTTTTCAAGATCGACTTGCCCATCTTTGGCCACAATGCCAGTCGCTTCTGGTTGCCTTTGACTCTCTTTATTAAGAAGCGCATCTACTAAGCGAAAGACGAGACTCTTTTTGCGATCCTGGTCCAGTCTTGCTACGTGGGTTATCAGATCTACAGGAGAAATGACATTCGTACAATGGCGTCATTTCGCTTGAACTGCCATAACGCCTGAGGATTCTCATCCCTTGTAAATTTTGCCTCAATGTTTTCTAAATCTCACTAGGATTACTTGAGTTGCACTTTATGATAGTTAAATAGAATATTACAGTGCGACCGCTGACACGGTTTTAATCACCACTAAACCGAGGTTTCCTTTTGAAATGACGTTTATTAAGGTTAATTCAACTAATATTGATGATGCATCCATCGAACATCATAAATATTTACATTTAAAGCCAGAAACACTATCCCCCCCCATAGATAATGTAAAAACAGTAACGCAAATACCATTTTACATACCGCTTCCGGGTTTTTCTTGATTACTTGACGCTCCTGATGTGACTTCAGAAATTTGAAGTTTGTGTTCTGAATCTTCATGACTGTTTCCATCGCCGTTAGAAAAGAGAGCTTCCACAAATCGTTGTACCACACTTATCTTTTTAGACGCTGGTGTAGCAGTTGTTGCTTTATTATCGACAACTTCCGTGTTTTCCACCGAAGACATAAAAATGTCAACAAGGGAATGGACTATGGTCGAAGTTTTCCTCTTGGCATCTTAAAAGAAATTTTTTAAAAAAATTCAATTTTCTCTGTACTTTATTAAGAGGAACTGCAGTCTTTCGTCTTTCGATATCTTGTTCAAGAACTGAGTGCCTATTAACTGAAAGAGGTAAAAAGACATCCCCTCTCTTTCCTTGATATTACCTTCCAATATTACCCGATGTTGGCCCGTGATGTTAACGAAATATTTTATTGAATATCTTTTTCTTTTCAGGATCCCTCCAGATCAGGAGCCCATAATGGGAGCTATTCTTTCTTGGTTGACTTCATCGTCTACTTCTTGTCGCAAGGAATTGATCGAGAACGCAGGATTATGGGAAGAGCGTTTTCGCCGCTTTCATAGCATCTGCACGTGTGAAACTAAAAAGCCCAGACCCTTACTCGGTTGTTACTTGTGACGCGTAACAATCAACATACTGTAAGCAATTAAAGTAATTTACAAGGGTAGCTTTTGTTTGATAGTATGAAAACAATAGCAACACTTGTAAATTACATTATACCTTGTAAAAGTTTTAATAAATTGGCGCTGCTGATGTACGAGGTTGAGCTCCAACTTAGGTATCGTTACATTAACAAAGTCTCCTTTTACCGACAAATAAGACCTCAATATACTAATATTAACGTTGCTCATGTCTCAACGTACACTGCGAGGTTAACGTAAAACAGAAAGATTGGAACTAAAGGTAGAGTAATCTATTTCATTCAACTCACCATCAACTTGTTCGAAGACCATTGAATAAACAGACTGGCTAGCCTGAAATAATCCTTCACCGTTCTAGCCAAAGATAAAAACGATTTATTCATGTCACAAAATTGCCATCACTGTGAAACTCTTCTTGAGACAATTCATGGTCGACGTGACAAAAACTTAGATATTTGCACTTGCCGACATGCAAGAGTAGGTATTTGATTAATTGGTAGAACTATTAGTGTATAAGGTACGGTGATATTTTGTAACAAAGAGAGATGGGCATCCTGGGGAAATGTGTCAAAGTGGACATTTTTTTATTTTGCGACATGTGATCGGACTTAGTTACAGGTAATATAAAGTGCGATAATTACTACAAATTGCAAAAGCACTAGGTATTAAACAATTTTTCCTCGAGCTCGAATGGGCTCTGAGTCCACATGGATAATATCCATGGAGTCCATAGCCCATGAGGCCGAAGGCCGAATGGGCTGTTGACTCAGAGGCCATGAAGGCGAGCGGAATAATTGTTTTAGTAAAATCCAACTGGTTGGTAAAAAATATCGAGACAAAACAACTTTAGCTAGCAAAACGCAATTCAGCCTCCATTGTTTTGGTTTTCAAAGCCGGCGCTTGTCGCTACTAGTGGGCTATAGCATATAGTCTAGAAGTAGCTCAACCAATCAGAACGCAGCATTGATAATTAATAGACCACTAGTTGGAGTCTACTAAAATGAGATACAACTGAGGGGTCGAGGTGAATGCAATCGGCGGACGAAAACGGCGAACCATGGCTTAAGCTCTCATGAATATCAATGTGCATTAAGAGAGATTATTCTCTCTTGTGTTGATACATCAGGCCAACTTTGAAAGAACATCAACGTCATAATTTGCAGGAAAAGTCCATATAATACCGGATTAAAGGTGAAGTCGTAACAGGAGGAATTCGCAACAGCGATTTTCAGCGCAAAACAGCGAGCGTTGCAATGAAACAATGTTGTAATCATCTGAACCAATATCGCAACAAGGTTACAACTATGCTTTCTTGCGATAAAAATCGTGGCTGCGAATCGTCCATGGTCAGTGGCTGAGAAAGATGGCTAGTCGTCGAGGACAGCGCAATCGATATCTTATGTTGCTTCATACCACTGGATCCATGAGTGTGCTGATCTTTCTTAGAGGGCGTACGGCTGGTTCCTTTGTTCCAATATAAAAAATGACTGTAAAGACTATTCCTGTACCAGTGACAATCCATACAAGATGCTGCGTCGAAAGGGAAAGAAATATACACATTTGAAAATAACTTAAAGATTTTTTTAAACTCATATATTGTTGGTTTTCACATGACGTCACTAAAATTCAAACTAAAAAATTATGGATCCTACGGAGATTTTACTTTCACGATGCATTAGAGCAGCTGAAAACTAATTTTGATACAAGTTTTCGCTTCAAAAGGGTTCTTGGTTTTGTGATAGAGTACGCTTGAATTTCGAATGATGGCCACGAGATCTGTCACGTAGTTTAAAAAATGACTTATTTCGGGAAATTTTGCTAGCTAAACAGTTCATGTAATAGAAAAAGTATTACTTTAATGTTTATGAGTTTCTCGAAGAATAAATTCACACTTTTTTTGCAAAACTCGGTAACTGATGTTTCTGTTGGTTTCCGTGCGCCATGTTGGAGCTCATCCATGTGAGCACCAGCATGGCGTCTTCATACAAATCTCTATAAGTTTGGGTAAAACATTTCTGCGGATATCTCGTATACGAAATATTCCTCTGACCTGAATCTTGGCGAGGGTCTTTGTATATGTACCTCCTTTCATTTCCCAGATTGTGGATCTATTGAACGGTTTTGATTTTTATTTTGATCTATTTTGAATGGCGTGACACTGAAAACCAGTAACAGTGTTATTTCAATTTATACTTTTACTGCTGATACATACCTAAGAATACTCTAGGAAAACGTTTTTAGGTTTTTTAAAAACTGAATTACACCTGCTCCACTAGCTAGTTGTCAAAAAGAATGCAGGCACCATAAAAACGTGCGTTTGGTTGGGCGCCGGAGCAATATGGTATTATGAATTCAATCTCATCCTGATCATCATTAATCCAATCAATAGATTGCTTTGTTCATTAATGCAATTTCTATATCGTCACTGTATTTAGGTATACTTACTGCAAACTGTGTTACACTTTCCGGCCCCAGATCGTCTCCGCCATCCTGACCAAGCAGTCCCCAGGCAACCACATAAACGTATATTCCACTAACGAAACTAAGGACTGTTCTATATCAGAAAAAAAAAGAAAAAAAGTAGGAAAAAAGGGACGACTCTTGCGGCATAAATTCGGGATAAGGGTATCTTTATTCCTATGTACCACGTCTGGGTTTAAATTTCTTGAACCGAACTTACTCACTGACGTTATTGCAGCCTGTCAGATCAGCTGCCATTTGAAATTCAAAGCGAAAAAGAAAAAAAAAACATTTGAAAAATAAAAAAGAAAGCAGAGTCAAAAATGTGTACCCTTCAGCTTTAGCTGCGTTGATTATCAATATACACTCATAACCACTGGTGAGATCACATTCAGTCAGAGAACAGAATCCAAAAAATCAGAACCAAGAAATTGTGAAAAAAGAATAGTGTTATTGCTGTTAACCTTATAGCAGTTAACGCTGCGCCTTCTTGCACTGTCCCAGCTGCAGTGAAGGTGATTGAAAGATGATTGATCTCCATAATGTTGTACGCCGCATTGATAATAACCATGACACAATAATAGTAAAAAGGTTGCAACCAATTGACACCCTGATAATCTTTGCACACCAAACACCGATTGAACAGAAGAGGAAGTCCACCGGCCATCATAACCGTTCCCACTAAGTGCCACGACTTCCTTCGACCCAGCTTTTTGGAAATAAATGGAATTTGCACCCGGTCGCCCAAGAAACCAGTTATTGGAGAGGTAAAGGCGTCAGTTATTTGTCCAATAAGTATAGCCAGTCCAACTTGGGATGCCGATAAACCAACCACTTGCATCAAAAATATGATGGAAAAAGAAGAGCACGTTTGGCGGACAATTTCGTTGAAAACGTTCCCGAGGCCATAGGAAAAGCGCCGTTTGATGTTTAACTTGGGTTTTTGATGGTTCTCCATCGCTGAATTCAACTGTAAAATATTAACATATAAATGAATTTTCTTCCAGTACATAAGAGTGCCGCGAGGGGTAGGTGACTGTGTAAACTGAGGAGCTTCGATAGATGGTGTTTAACCAAACAGAGGACAGATAGATATGAATATGAAGTTCATCATCTTCAGGCGGAAGTTGAGCAAGCGTAATGATCCATTGTAATATATATCACTTTCTATACAGGCTGAACTTATTTAACCGCCAAAGTATTTCAATGCAAAAATTGACCTCAAAAATGCCCAGAAAACGAGGCAGCAAGCATTTTGAGGTGTCATATTTTCGGGTCAGTTTGTATTAGATTTTTATAAATCTTGACATCACTAAATGACGTTTGATAAATCGACCTATGAAGTATTAAAATTGCAATTATTTTTGTGACATCGGTAAAAAGATCACGTTTGAGTGAAATACCGAGCGCGTACCGAGAGCTGTTTAATAATAAACCATAGTCACTTCAGTCGCAATTCGATACGAAATGTCCAGATGATATACTCACTAAGAACAAATAGCAACTTTATAGGATATAATTGATACAGAATTGAAAGTTGCCACAACGTTTAATTTGATAATTGAGCTTTGCCGAAATGCACAACGGTGACGTCCTCGGATGTTATCACTAAGAAAACCTGGCCCCCTAGGAAATTTTTTCGTACTTGATTGGGTCGCTGATATTTACGTTGCTGAGCTGAAGTATTTACTGGTAAATATCCCTCAATCGAGCGTGTAACAGCACTGAAACACTATTGCTTATTATAATTAATGAAGACTTAAATTTGTGTGGGTTCATGTCTTTTCTTACTAGTTGAAGAATGTTTCTCAAAACCTGTTTGAAAAGATCTTTAATGCCTCGTTCTAGCGACTTTTTCAAAAAAGCGTTCAAGAATGATAAAACTGATTTTTAAGTTTTCCAAATATCAGAAACAAATTAAAATAAATTCTTGGCTCGGTGTCAGACTGAGGACTACGTTTAAATGAAGGGCGGTTGGATTGTATCTGCCTGCCTGGAGGTTCCGCACTATACAAACCTCGTTTTTAAAGTAACATTGTCAAAGTGATTGAAATAAACTGTTAAAGTCAAGTTCAAACAATCAGTTAAAATTTAAGGATCTGACTCACCAATGTAGCCCTCTGTTTGAGTGCAACGTGACTGAACTGACCTTGGAAGGCTGGTCTTTTGAATTAAGTAGAAGTGACGCGAGTTTCGGCTTTTTTTGGACTATTTTTGTCTCGCCTATTATCATGTGAAAGACAGAGTTCTGAACTTGGAGTGAGAGGTTGGTCAATTATACTAGCGTTAATCTAACGTCCTCTTCCTGTTGACGTTCGTCACTCAAAAAGTCTTTGCTTTAAGCTCCTTGAAATCGAGTTTACCGCGGCCCTTCTCAATTAAGGCTGGTCTCGCTTATAATAAAGTTAACATTAAACAGACATTAGCTGCATGGTACTCGTTTTAAAATTGTCAGCTGAACGTCTGAGAAATGACAGCTACATGAGGCCCAGAAAACGTGGAAAATTGACTGATTTTAAAAGGGACAAACGTTTAAGGGCGAGGTGGACATTAATAAACAGAAATTCCAACGTTTACATGCTCCTCATATTTGTTAATATTTTTTTTAAAAAAAGTTTTCAACATAATTTTTAAGGTAATTCATACATTAATGAAACAGTCATAACTCAGCAATAAATAAGTTTCTTCAGGTAAATTATGAAAAACGACTGGCTCAAACTGGCAGGTTAGTCTTTTGAATAAAGTCGAAACGAGAACGCTTTAGTGGGGTTTTTAATTATTATTTCAATTTTTATTTATAGACTATATTTTGTCTTTTGTGTGGTCTCATGAAAGACATGGTACTTGAATTTGGAGTCAAAGGTTGGTTAACTTTACTTTAATCTAACTGTTTTCTCATACATATGAGATGGTAAAAGACATCCTTTTCTAATTTCCCAGCCCTTTTACTAGTTACTTAAGCTTTTAAAATGATATTAAGATTAAGATTTGTGTCATTTGTGACGTGGTTTTTTTTTATTATCAATAGGCTATTTGTACTAGCTAGGACGCCTTTATCACTACTATTAGAATCCTTAAGGGTTCGCTTTCTTGTGCAAATTATGACTTTTGTCATTCAAACCTAATCGGTGGGATTACCAAATTTTGATATGAAAGAAAAATCGAAAAGAATTCTGGTAGTAGCAGTAAAATGACGCCATCGAGCAAATGGCCTATTATTAATGAACGTCAATCTTGAGTATCAATCGTGGTCCAGTTTACTCCGGAATCATTCGTCGTGTTTTACTCGTCCCACTCTTGAGATTAACCAATATTCTAGGAGTTTATTCCAGAAGATGCAGTTATAATTGCGGAAATGGATATGTCTCAATTTGAAGTCAAGGCCTGGTGGACGTTAGTGGACGTTCTGCAAGAGTAATTATTAAATGCAGATTACATTTTCACAGTATAAAATCTCTAATCTGATGTTAGCACCAGACAGTCACTTTGCGTGTTTAATTTCCCTACAGAGCTATTGAGAAACTATTACTTCGCAATCCATGCAGTTACGGTTGGTAGTGAAAAGGATAGTAATATATATAAGAGGCTTGAAAAGTCTATGATCTGATTTGAAGTCGCGTGGAATTTTTGTTGGTTACTCTATGTCGTGCTTTTGAGGCTGTGTAGCTGAATGAATACGTGACTGAGGCTTGGAAGCCTCTATTGATAATGCATCCCGTGTTGACGTCAGACAAAGAATACCGTGAAAACCAAAATATGAATTAATAAGACCTAAATTTAACTTAAAGTGCTACTACGACGAAAATTTTTGTTTTTGTTTCCGAGTTTTTTTAACATAAATCTTGTGTATATGTTCAAAATTATACAAATAGCGAAAAATTGGAACGATACTTGCGTACGGGGGCTGGAAATTTCCCACTGAAAAGTGCGTAAATACCGTCCGCCATTACAAAGTTCGCAAAGCAATAGCCCGCGAGATCTCCGCAAAGCGGTCGTGCGTTTGACCACGTGATTTATGCACTGTGACGTAGAAACATCAACCAAAAGATTCGCATTTGAGAAAAGTTTGTGAGTTTAGAGCCTTTTAACAAGACGTTTAAGATGTCATCTCCGTCGAATTCCTCTTCCTGCACATCTGAAAGTGATCTAGAAAGTTTTACAGTTGACGAAGTGATGGGGGAATTGTCTGAATTTGCGCCGTACGACGACAGTTGCGAACCCCTTGCTACCGAGGAAGAAGCCGCGGACTACAACGAAAGAGTTCATCGCGAAGAAGAAGAGGAACAACAGTTTCAACGAAGATATTCGGGAGAGGTGCCAGCGAATGAATGGTATGGTATTATCATGGAATGTAGATTTATATTTTTATTTTCCAATTTCAACATACCCGTTAAATCCCCCGCGTGACGAACGCGACTGAGTGTTTTGTTTAAGTTTACAATTTCGTTGCTATGTGATTAGCTGTAGTCTTGATTTTATGCGATAGTTTTATTGAAGAGGTCAGACAATTAATAATTTTATACAGACGTATTTTCCTTGTGTTTGACGAATTTTTCACATTATTTTGCAGGTGTTCGTGCTCGAACTGCTCTGTCAGCCTTGTTACAAAAGCGCAGGAGTGCATTTGCTGCAAAGAGATCGGTCGCTGCGAATAGGTCATGGAAGAAGCCATTGGAGACCGGACCGTATGCATAACCCTCCATCCAGGGTTTGAAAGCGTCTGCTTAAACCGCCACGTATTAGAAGTAGCTGCACTGGGCCTAAAAAAGCGAGCTGGAAAGTCGTACACAACTGTTCGTGAGCAAAGCAACAAAAGTGATAATGAGTAAGTTGGGGTATTGTTGACTTTGTATCGGAACGATCGAACCTTACATAGCATTGAATAATTGATACATCTAAGCTTATCGCCGTGGACTGATCTCATAGAATCACATTTTTTATTTTCTAAATGGCTTTATTGCCCCAACTGCTTATTTTTAAAAGGAGTATTTATTTATCTCCATCCAATCCCTCCTTGAATTAACAGTGATCTCATTTCTCTAACTAGATTCCTGAGGTCTGTGGCCTATCGCCAATTTACAAGACTGCTGTGGAGTTATATTGGTAGTTTTAGGCGATATCCCTTGCCCTGTTGTGCCTACAATAAAATCAGGAAACAATTTCCGAGTCAAAATGGCCATTATCGTGGATTCGAAGATGAAGAAAATTAATAATAAATGCACTGTTTGTTCTTGAAGAGTGTCATGTATGCCATTGGGGCCAAGAAGGACCTACAGTAGTTGCTTAAGTAAGCACTTAATTTTATGAGCCAAACTTCAGAATTCTGAGCCACTTACTCGCTTTTTGTTGAATGACAAACTTGCCCACTGTGTGAAGCCCTGTTCTTCTAGCTTTCAGTTAAACTCAAGTTTAGTGGCTGGGAATTCTGATGTTGCTCCAATTTTCATGTACACAAGTAATAAAAATTAAATCGAATTCAGCCTGAATTTAATTACAGTTTTAATGTATCATTTCTTTCTTTTCACTCGGCTCACAGAGCACTGCAACATTTAATAGCAGGTTACCTGCTGGAAACTTTCCTAGCAGGTCTGGTTGACTCTTCCAGACTTTTGTCTGGCTACAGTTTCTGTAGAAACTTTCTACGGTTAACAAGGTACCTGTCTGTGATACAGAAAGTTTGGGTTTTGAAAAGAAGCACAAGTGGCAGAACTGAAACAAAGGAAGAAGTTTGGAAAGGAAAACAATTCCCTTCGGTTTCTCTCGAATGTTTTTTCCTTGTAGATCCAACCTGTAAAAAATGATTGAAAGGAAATACTCATTTAATCATAGCATCTGAAATCATAAAATAACAATAAAAAAAATGATTATCATTTTTATTGTTTTTCTCAGGGTGTTGCCAGTTTTTCAACTTGTTGTAAACCTGGCTAATTGTGGGTTGGGATTTTATTCTCACATACATCCTGAAAAATCCTTTTTTATAATAATTCTGTTGATTGGACACATGACAACGTTGAGCCCTTAAGCTATCTAGCCCACCCCAACGATGCACAATTTATTACAAGTGGTTGAGTGGACAAACCAAACAATTTTAGGCCAGGGACTTCCAGTCTATGGGCTGGCTATGCTCTTTTTTTTTTTTTTTTTTTTTTTGTGCAATTCTTATCTGAGTAAATTAAAAACAAATTTCATGTACTCTTGTTTCTGAATAGATCCTCTCATAATGGAAGTTAGTTTTAGGCCTAAATCACTTCCCAGAGGATACTTAGAGCTAAGATGTTAAAATGCGATAAATTTTGCATCTTTGTACCTTGGGTTCTGATGAGTCTTCACTGAGTCATCATCTTCCTTTAGTATTTTATATGCATCTTCGATTTCTTCAGGACTCCATGTAGGGTCTTCATCACACTCAAACTCCTCATATGCGTCATCCTACATTTCCTGCTCATCTTCTGATTCATCCTCTAGCCCTAACTCTGTCTCATTTGTTACTGGCCATGGTTCAGTTTGAATAGCTTAAACAAATGGAAAATTAAAAAAATTCTATCACCATTAAAATTTTAATTATTATTAAATAATCAAATATTGATAAAATGTAATAAAAATATAAAGATAGGCAGTTATGCCTATATGACTCATCAACATCAATTATTGTTGACTCACCAGCATTCACCATCAGCAACTGCTTCGGCTCTTGTATGCTCTTAAAGGTTTCAACCCACTGATCTTGACTGGAGATTAACTTACTCTTCAGTCTTGTGACTTTGCCCCTTAACTGAGTCACCTCACTCCTCAGGGTTTTGCATGTTGTGCAATTCTCAGCATATCCAGTTGGAGTATCCTACAAAAAACAAACTTTCAACATTGATACAGGCTGTAATAACAAGACTTAAGAATTTTTGTGTTTTAGTATTGTTGTAAAATAACTGCACATGTAGTTTTCCATTGTTATGATAATACAAAGATGCAAATAAACATTAATTAGAGTTATGCGCCTACCATAGAAACCTGTTCAAGTTCAGGAATCGTTAATGATTCATCGATCTGCATAACTTCATCCATATCCTGCACTTTTTCGATTCCTTGAGCCTCCAGGATCTGCATGGTCTCAGTAACCTCATCAGTGCCTGAAATCCCTTGGCTCTCGACAGCTGTCTTATCACCAGGAGTACCTAGGACCTCTGAAGCCATCTCAGCATCAACACTTATCTCACCCGTCTCAGTCTCAGGGATGCAGCCCTCCTTTTCAGGATTTACCTCAAGCAAAGAACCCTGACTAGTATTCAGAACACCCTCGACTTCTGGAGACTCCTTAGCGTTGAGATTGGGAGCCCCCATAGTGTCAGCACTCTCCTCAGGTGCAGAACTTCCTTTCAAAGAGATCACCTCTTCTTCAGGATTGTCTTCTTCCTCTGTATCCTCATTAGTAGTTTGACCAGCCAGAATTTCATTTAGTAGCTAAAAATGAAAATAGGGACGACCATTTTTTATATCTCCCCTTCAAAACAAGTTTAAATTTGAGCTTTATGTTGATGTTTTCAAAACTAGAAATGGAAGCAAGGTTTAACCACATCTTTGCCTTAAAATGTATGCATCTTTTGCAGACAGTGAAAATAGAATTAAAATACAAACGAAAAAAAACCCGCAAACAGTAACTGAACTTATAGAATGTAGAAATCAGACTAAGTCCATTTTTGGTCGTTTTAAAAGACTCGCGTGTAACTCTTAATTTGCTGTAAGATTTCTTGGAGGGAAGTTTGGAGTACTGTCAAATCTCAAAGTAACAGCAAGATAATCTCTCAAAAAATAGAGAGCCAGATTTCTATGTAGCTTCATTTTTTCTAAATTTTACGCTTGAGTGGAAAGGTCTGGGAATTGGGGAATTGACTTCACGTCCACTCAGCGCAAATGCCCGTTTTACTATAACTATGAGAAGAAAGCAGAAAACTATGAAAACACATGCAACAATATGGGAAGTTCAAATAGTCAGAGCATTCATTACACGAATATTGAACAACGATGCCAGAAAAAATCATGTCACAGGTAAATGGGGAAATAAATATAATGTTGATAAGCACAGCGCAAATACATTGTAATTTCACTCACCGATCGTCTACTCCGCTTTGATAGTGTTTGAGAGGATTTTTTCCAAATGGTTGGAAACGTCCCCTTCTTCAAATTCCTTTTCATGCCTTTCATCGGAAAAGCAAGCGTAAAACAATCCCTTGTAAAATACTCCGAGCACACAGCAAATTTTCCCACTGTGTTGAAATCCTTCCGATGAATGGACACCACTTTAATCTAACGCTGCCCGAATCAGGAGAATTATGAATAGAAATCCCCAATTCATCGTTCTTTACGTTTCCACAGTCCTGAACAACACAACGTCTACCAGGCATACTTTCGCTTTAAGTCAAAAAAGCGAAGAAAGAACCTCCAAAAGCTTCCAAAAATATCTCGTCCTTCATGCAAAATTAGCCACGTTTGTTTGCCTTGTTTTGACGCGTTGATGTTTCTACGTCACATCTCGCCCCAACTCCTTCAAATCTACTCCCGGTCATTTTTTGAATCGAGTAATGGCGGCAAGACATTTACGAAAATTGTCGTGCAAATAAACACACTTCCAGATCATATTTGGACTCCAAACTTGGCACGGTAAGTCACTTTTACATACATTTTCGAAATACGTAATAAAAAGCAAATTCCCAAATTTGATCGTAGTAGCACTTTAAAGGTCCTAAACATAAACAAATGAACAACGTTAACAGCACTAGATTTGTAATTGCTAGATTGTTCCGTCATTCTCCTATCCTTTTTTAAATAAAAAATCAAACTTGATCATGAGGACTTTAAGTGGAGGGACAGAGGCGAATGCAAAATTCTGACTTTCATCTCAAAAGTAATCGATGAGGCAGTCTTTTGTCAGCTTTAGTACTTGGAGAGACACTGAGCTCATTAGCCTGCGAGAGCATCCGGGTTTTTCGGCTCTAGTTTCGGAGGGTGAAAAAAGACGACCGAGAATACGTCTGCGGTTCGCAGGCTATGAGTTCATTAGCCGGTTTGCCTGACACAATTTGGTGTTCCTCAAGGTTCGGTTCTAGGTCTGTTTTAACATCTTTAGTATAATTCCCCTTGGGAGGGTAGTGTTCAAAAGATGAACGAGGCTTTATAAACCTTGTTGTTTCACAAATTTATTAAATTTCAAGCTATTATGAACTATGCTACGCTAATTTCTGCGTTATCAAAGAGTAGTATGATCACATAACGATTTTCTTTTTCGATCAAGCTTCCTTGCAATTGGTTCCGAGTCAGTTCATTGTTTTAAGAAAAACTAGCAAGACGATCAAGTAAGCCGCGTCCTCTACTCGACCTTGGTGAGGTATAAAAACGAACTTGTCGTCCACCGAAGAAGCCAAAATTGAATGGCTGTTATTTCAGTGTGCCAATGGTAGCTGGATAGGATTTTCTTCAGTTTTGTCCAGATGTTCCAAAAGGAACTCGGCGTCCTTCTAATCTCTCTCAGGTTCTACGACAACGTTGAATGATTGAACGTGACTTGCTTCGGATTGATCACGAACTTGAGCGTTTTCATCAAGTGAATATTCTACAAGAAAAACAAACAAACAAACAAATAAAACAAGCAGTGTGCCGTTTACAATGAATAGATAATTATTAGATGCTCCTAAAATGAACAACGCGTTTGTTAGACAAGACAAGACAGCAATTTTATTTATACCACACACCGACAAAAAAGACATTAAAAAACAGACAGTACTACTTATGTAAGGTACAAGCCACCTGGAAAATAGCTAAAAAGCTAATCTAACTAGGAGGCATTATAGATTAATTAAGAATATTAAAGACTGAGGTTGTTTCATGGAGACATAAATATAAACGCCCCCATGAACTGCTCACTGCTCCCCTTGTTCCGTTTCCGTACACGATCAATGCCAGGGATGTAAGATCCAGAAAATTTAGAAAAAACTCTGAGTGCATAGTGATAAAGTTTTTTGAAGAAAAACTCAGCTTAAAATTCTATAGAACAAGTAATTTTAGAAAAAAAAGAGTGAAGGGCGTGCCTCCCCTTTGGCCCCCTCTAGATACAACCATAATGTATATTTGGGCAAAAGAAATGCAAAACTAACTGAAATTGATGCCTGTTAATTTATTTTAGTCCGGCTGCCAAAACAGCCAATCCTCGCCGCTTGGGACGTTTCTCCAGGAGGGTCTCTTCTGGCGAAACGTCCCAAGCGGGGTGGAGCGAGGTGAAACGGCTGTTTTGGCAGGCTAGTTAAATTGAAAGAAACGGCCTCTTAACATTATATATCTATAGCACAAGCATACGACAGCATTAGGCTGAAAGGCTGATGTAAAACAATCCATACAGGGCGGCCTAGCAAAGGAGATGAAATTCGATCATAATTTCATTTACAAACTACATTGATCAGTGTCCAGAGATGATTTTTTTCATATTGATTGTGTTTATTAAAAAATATTGTACAGAAGCTACATCCTAACCAACTTAGCTGATGATAAGACATAATTGCATGGGAAGCTTTGAAACCGTACCAATCTCTTTTTGTACGACATGACGGTGGACGGAAGAATAAAACCATCAGCGAGCCAGCAAGCGCCAATAGAGCGGGAACTACAGAAAATACATGATGCACGTAGTCGCTTTCACTCAATTTGGACGTAGAGCTATAAAATATAATAATTATAAAGAACTAAAAATCGCCCTCCAGGCATTTTTTCTTGCGCGCTTTTTGCTTGACGAACTAGGAATAAAAAGGGGCAGCTTTTAGTATATGCCTCAGAAATGACCGTAGACGCATCAAGGTAGCGGGACATTTTAATCACCCAAATCATGTTTATTCTAGCCACCCGTAACCATGGCAATCTGCAGCCTTTCCTTGCATCAAAACAGAGAAAACAGTAAAGATCCAGCCGAGAACAAACGTTTCTAGAAATCGGCACTTAATTAAATTCAATTTTGCACCCGACCGCAAAAATATGGATTTTCCAAATTAAGATAGGAGATCTACTTATAATCTCACCCCTTTTCTGGATAAAACTCTTGTATAGCCATCAGCAAACCACCGCTGGATATTCTCCCTAGAAAAATAATGATGGCGAATGCCGAACCACTAGTTTCCTGTAAAAGACAGCACAACTGTTTCAGATACTTTTAAAAAAAACGCATGTACGTTTAACCTGCTGGTAGCTTTATATGTTGAAAGTTTAGGAGATGGCTGTGTTTATAAATAGCCGCGCCTGATCTCTTGATCTGATAGTTCGATCATAGTGGACTCTTTATCAGTTAATTGTGGCACTCTAATATAAAGTCTAAGTTAAAGGGAGACGAGTCCATTTCCACGGTCTTTCATGCGTATTCCGGTTAACCGGAAATCTATTTACGAAAGCAAGTTGGAAACGGGTCTGCATAGATTTTGCCTTTATGTCTTGACGTTTTATTTTAAGAGAGTGACTATAGCTAAAAGAACTTATACAGTTGGATTTTGGCTACGAGGCTCTTATATTATACAATTGTTTTAATCCAATCAGAACGAGCTAAGTATTTTCATCAGTTTGTTAACCAGGTGGGGACACCTGTAGCGTCTCAGTTATTTTGACCAGTCAATAGGCATGTGACTTTAAGTTATTTGACCAATAAGAGCGCTTGTCGTCTGTCAGTTATTTCGACCACTTAGAACGCGCGTTGGTTTTCCAGTTATTTTGACCAATGAGAATTTCTTTAGTATCTCAGTTTTTTAAACAGTCAGAGGGCGGGTGGTAATTCAATTATCTTGACCAAAGTATTTAGGTTAAATTTTGTAAAATCAAATAGCTTTGTCTTAAATTACGGTCATTACTCTATTTCCATACAATGTTTGCGTAGGCGCACCTTGTCTGCTTTGACGAGTTCTGCGGCGAACGTCAGAGCCATGACGTACATGATGGACATGCCGCTGCCGGTTAGGATTACGGGCGCATATGTGAACAGTTTCAAGTCAGTGGTTTGGAAATAATAGTATAAAGATGCACCAATCACGAGAAGTGAACCAATGAGGTAAGTTCCCTGAGGAAAGATATCAAATACAGATCAAAGTCAGGAGCGAGCGGCTGGGTTTGCTCAGCGGGAGCCCCGATAAAAGCCGGTAAGGAGATCGTCTCGCTTAGCAGTGCAAGTTGCAAATATTTTGTTACTCCCTTATTTTTAATTTATTATCAGTTAAACTATTCAACTTGTTACATGTATAGAAAAATTGAAAGGAGGGAAAAGCCGCTTACCATGTTTCCCAGTTTGGAGTTAAGTTTATTTGAAATAGTGCTGCCTATTGCTCCGCTAACAAGAAGAACAATGGGAAAATAGGCAATGGATTGCTGCAAAAGAATCGACAAAAAGCTCAAAGTAAAATGAAATGAGAAGAAAATTAACCTTAATTCACTGCCAAATTTAGCAAAAAAGGAAATTCGACCAAACGTTCAAATTTCATTTTGTGAAATTTTGACAAACAAATAGACTTATGTGAAAGAACAGGCAGAGATCTTTCATTTGAATGGTAACATCACAGGATTTCGTCCACAGACTCAAAAGTAAGAGTCACCTTATAAAACTCCATCAAGCTCTCTGACAGTGAACAAATTTACGGGTTAATGACCCCTTTATGAATAAGCGGTGTGGATGCTATCACATTGAAACATTCAGTCTATCATAGAGGTACTGTTGTCTTTAAGCGCATTTCTGACTTCAATGGGCTTTACATGAATAAGAATAGAATAAATAAAAAGATCTCTAGTCCTAGCGGACAGTGATATAACAGGCAGTTTTGTATATAACAAAGTTAAAATACTTCGAAAAATAATGTTAAGAATAAAGGCTATATTAGTTTAGATTTTAAGGCTGGGGTGTATAAATTAGCGAACGGTGTGATGATCGTAGAACCATTGATGGAAGATACTTCTTAACACATTGGCAAAAAGGGTGCAAAATTATTCGTCTTACCTGCCCAAAGCCCAGTCTTTCTGTCAAGTACAACGGCAAATATGCATAAACCGCATCCTGCACAAGGCGAGAACACGTGATGATAACGGCGACCTAATTAATGAAATGAACTCGGGAAATTAATTTGTCAATGACTTTATTTTTTAGTACGATTTTGTTTTAAACAGGGCTAATACCTTACAGCCTTCTTTGGGTCCAATTAATGTATTAAGTGATTGCATTTTTGACAGAAAAATGTAATTTGTTGTTTACTTGTTTGTGTGAACTGCATAAGGTTCTAAACTGACACGAGACTTAACCAATATTGTTAAACGGTACGCTATTCAGGTATCTTAAGGTGTTGGCAAAGGTTAGCCTTTCGGTATATATAATTGACTCGGTAAATTTACAAATGATGTGATCCCCACACGTCAATCTTGCAGCTGCTTTAAAGGCAAGTCATTTCATAAGGGGATATACCAATAAGACTTAAAGTGAAATTAAAAAACAAAAATGCCATTGGACACATTAAGAGATGCCAACCTTGTAAACACCAGGAGTCTTCAACCAATCCCTCGTCGTCTTTGGTTTCCTCTTTTCAGATCCTCCAGTAATCGCAGATTTACACGATTTATCATTGGATTCATCTCCCGTCTCTTTTTTCTCAGATCCGTTCTCTTCCAGCTCAGATAAGCTCAGTTTTCTTTGCGTCTCTTTATCTGAAAATGCTGTTATCTCTGAATTCTGAAGAGGATAAATTGCTGAATTACGGACTTCATTCCTTTCTGGAACAGAGAAACTCACTTTTTTGCCCGGTTTTGTTTCTGTAAAAGGTGACATTTGTTTTTCGAAACCATGGATAATTGCATCGCCTTCACGGACAGGCTCAATGGCCTCTTCTTCGTTTATTGTTCTCATCTCCAGCCCACAGGTTTCATTTTGGTAACCAAGGTTGTGTATTCCAAGCTTGCAGGCTTCCTCTGGAGCCAAAGACATGCCTCTTCTCCGACGCCGGCTATATCCTCTGTCAGCACCATTGAAATCATCTTCTCTTGTTTTCATATTATGATCTTCATTTCCCTCCATTATTTCTGTATTTTTCGTTCCGTTCCTGTCAGTAATATGAGCAAAGATTAACTCACTGGGAAAACTAAAAAATAAAGGAAATAAAATACGCCGCGATACAAGACTCTTTCAGGTGCAAGATGGCGATGTACAAAACTCTAAGAGGTGTAGTGGGTGATGAGGCTGTAGATGGGAACTGATTGGAAAGCCCTCAACCTTTCATAACAACTGCCACTTTATGCACGTCACCTTATGCTATGTAATCACTCTTGGTGTCTGGATACTAGTTCCTGGGTACGATATAAAATTGTGTTATAACGTGCACATATTTACTCCAATTTGCTCTGTCAGACGTCATTTTAAAACGTTAGCGTAGCCGTGAGTAATGCAGGTATCCATAGCAGTAGATTGCCACGGAAGTAACAGAAAACTTGTGCGCGTAGGTCGTTGTGACCACTTTGAAGCCTAAGAATAGGGTCTTGCTTTTGTACTCAGGAACCGTTACGTGGGCACTTGGAAAAAGCGGGTGTTCAACTCAAGATAAACGCTTACCATACAGTACAATCTGTCGCGTCTTCAAAAATGTTCGTATTCTGCTTGTTAGTTTCCTTTTCAAGATCCACTTGCCCTTCTTCGGCCGTAATGCTAGTCGCTTCTGGTTGTCTTTGACTCTCTTTATTAAGAAGCGCATCTACTAAGCGAAAGACGAGACTCTTTTTGCGATCCTGGTCCAGTCTTGCTACCTGGGTCATCAGATCTACAGGAGAAATGACAATAGACTTCGTGCAATGGCGTCATTTCACTTGAACTACCAGAAAGCCTGAGGATTCTCGTCCCTTGTAAATTTTGCCTAAATGTTTTCTAAATCTTACTAGGATTACTTGAGTTGCATTTTATGATAGTTATGACAGTTAAATCGAATATCATAGTGCGACCGCTGACATGGTTTTAATCACCGCTAAGCCGAGGTTTCCTTTTTAAATGACGTTTATTTACGTCAATTCAACTAATGTTGATGATGCATCCATTGAACATCATAAATATTTACATTTAAAGCCAGAAACACTATCCCCCCATAGATAATGTAAAAGCAACGCAAACACCATTCTACATACCGCTTCCGGGTTTCTCTTGATTACTTGACGCTCCTGATGTGACTTCAGAAATTTGAAATTTGTCTTCTGAATCTTCATGACTGTTTCCATCGCCATTTGAAAAGAGAGCGTTTACAAATCGTTGTACCAGGCTCGTCTTTTTAGTCGCTGCTATAGCAGTTGTTGCTTTATCGACAACTTCCGTGTTTTCCACCGAAGACATAAGAATGTCAACAAGGGAATTGACTATGGTCGAAGTTTTCCTCTTGGCATCTTAAAAGAAATTTTTTCAAAAACATCAATTTTCTCTATTCTTTATTAACAGGACCTGCAGTCTTTCGTCTTATTACTGATACAAAGATATTGTGTTCAGCTACTGAGTGCCTATTAACTGAAAGAGTTAAAAAGTCATTCTCCCTCTTTCCTTTATATTACCGTCCAATATTACCCGATGTTGGCCCGTGATGTTAACGAAGTATTTTTTTGAATATCTTTTTTTTTCCATGAATATAATAATTTAATACAGGGTATCTAACTAATAATTATTTAAAATATACTATAATAAAATTAAAATAAACAACATATGTTAAGATATTAGTAATTCTCGTGATAAAAATTAATAAAAAGCTTCCCTAAAGAGGTGGGTTTTCAGATAGCAGTCTAAAATCCCTAGATCTGTAATAGAACGAATCTCACGCGGTAATACATTCTAGAGTGCCGGAGCTGCGACCTGGCTTGATCTGTCTCCTAATGTAACCCTACTTCTATAGGTTGGCGTTGCAAGCAGCAAACCATCCGAGGAGGATCTTAAATTTTAATTTCCTGATCTTTTAATCGACACAAGCTCTCTTAAATACGTTGGCACGAATCCATGGATGGCCTTAAAAACAAATGTGACCCTCCACAGGAATTTGATGCTAAAGGTGAAAGCACGCGCACGACACGCTTGCACGACACGCTTAGCGTGCCGTAGATCACGGATATGCGCATATTAAATTGAAAAAACAAAGACGGACACACTTGCCTTTGTTTTGGCAAATTTAACACGCTAGACCTTTTGTTTTTTTGTAGCGTGCCATATGTCACGGTAAGTGTGCGAATTATAGCAATTTGGGTAAGACGCTGAACACGCTTGATTACTAAAACTGCGGAGATGATAAAAATGGCTTGGCTTTTCAGCGGATTTAATCAGCATTGATAACTGGTCGAAGTGAATCAAATATACCAATTGAGACTGTTTTGGAATTTGATAGTAACCGTGGCCATTTGAAAATCACGACTTAATGGTGGTCTAGCCTGGAATTAACGCGAGATCAGTGTAAACCAATTCCTCCGGCTGTCGGCCGTTGACCGGAATTGCAAAGAGGCCTGCTATCGCATGCGAGGCACTGAAGTTATGTCGCCTGAAAATCATAGTTATGCCACCGGAATATATATTAGCAGTAATGCACAGAGAAATGAAGTTGAATAAATTAGTTTAATATATTTCTTTAAGCCATGCTGAGACGAACGAAGGTAATTAGATCGGAGAAACAAAAACTGCCTAGAATTTTCTATAGGTTGAGGAAGGCTAAACATTTCTAGATGACCGTTCCATGTATGTACAATTTTCGAAGGTTATCTAATAGTTTCCTTACGATTTTCTGAAGTTTAATTTTTTCCATTTCATTCCCCAGTTAAGCTATTTTTCGTAGAGAATTAAGGAATCCTAAAATTTTCGGAACCGAAAATACGATAAAATTCTCACTTTCCTAAAACTTTCAATTGGAAGCTAAATTTTTCGGAAAATAATGCTGAAGCCCTTGTAATTTCGAAAAGACTGAAGTTGTCCTAGGATGCTAGGATGCATTTAGGAGGAAATCGCCGTCAGGTACCCCTGACGAACGAAGCGCTATCAATCATAATTTATGTAAAGATATCTCGTTACGCTATGCTAAGACGAATCAAGCGCTGTAAACGTGTACTATATCTCGTTCTTCACAGGACGAAAAAAACAAGAATCTGTAAACTAAAAACACTGTAGAATGAGGGAGGATTGCTGGCGACTTTTCTTTGAATTTTGGGCGACAAAACTCATATTATCAGGTTTTGGACGATATAACTTCAAACGACATCACTTTCGAGTAGCTTGACCGTCACCCCTTTAGATCGAGCTCGATGAATTAATTCAATGACCGAACTTTATGGAACAAATGATTGCCTTCAAGAATTTCACGCGGACTACTTTTAATTTAGTTCTTTTTCTCTTTTCTCAGTGTGTGACTGACAGAGATTTAATTCTCGGATCGAACTTTAGTACTCTAAACAGGCCGTATTATCGTGGCAAAAACAAAGAATCAAACAAAAAAGCACCATACAATTTCGGAATTCTGTTAAAAAATACATTTTTTGCTTACTATTCAAAAAGCGGTGAAACAGTCATTAATTAACTGATGTTTCGCTTTTTGTGTTATTGTCGGCCGGATCAATTAAGCAACGTTGGAAACGTTTTGGAATTTTGGTGCATCTAGAAAAGCAGGCTGGTTTTTATTTGATCACTACGATCCTTGCAATCGCTAAAAAATAAATAGAATTTAGTGATCCTGGCACTTGATGATTTCTATTATATTTGATCACGATTGCTACGATCGGCAAGAAAGTGTCTTAAGTCCGAAAGATCACTGTTTCTGAGAAAACTGCAAATGTGTTTTAAATTAAGGAAAGTTAAGATAACCTTTGCACAGCTTCGTCAGTAAACATTTCTGGAAAGAACTTTGATTTTGCAATTGTAATATAGTTCTACCCATAAATCCAGTAGGTCACACTGTTCACTGTTTATACTTTTCAAGCGACAACGTTTTTTCAATCAGATACTATCGCTGGGGTATAATTTTTTCTTTCTCGATAGTTACCAAAAAAGGGTGCCGTTCATGATCATTTACGGTTCCTTTTTGTAGAGGAAATTTATTTAGCTTATAGATAACACGCCTTGCGTGCTTTTGCGCACACTGAGGGCGTGTTGTGCTTTTTCGCACGGAGCTTTTGTTTGAAAACTTTAACACGCTCTTTTGTTCGACTTGCTCACGCTTAATTGTCTCAAGCGTGTCCGCTGAAACAAAAGAAATTGCTAATGAGGAAAGATTGCAAGCGTGCTAAAGCGTGTTAAAATAAATTCTTTTGTTTTAAAGTGAAAGCGTGTCGTGCGCGTGCTTTCACCTTTAGCATTAAAGTCCTGTGGAGGGTCACAAATAGTACAATCTTAAAACTAATGCGTTGCCTAACCGGTAGCCAATGCAGCTCGTACAGCAACGGCGTTATGCAACAGTAGCGTGGGGCGCGACAAACTAGTCTTGCTGCGGCATTTATAACGCGCTGAACCTTATTCAGGTGAGAAGCTGGCAAGCCATATAAAAGACTATTACAATAATCTACGCGCGAGGTAACAAACGCATGTACGAGGGCTTTAGTGGTATCTGTACTTAAAAACCTACGGATCCGACTTATATTATGCAAATGATAGAATGCCAAGGCGCTTTGCTTACCATGACGAGATTCATACGACTTTGAAATTCACCACAGGGAGGAAGTTTCAATTTCCGGTGTCCTTATAAAAACGTAACCTAATTAGGATTCAATTAATAGCCACTAATCTGTCATGACTTGTGTACTATTATCCATGGCGTCACTGATGGAAGACGAGCTGAGACGAAAGACAGATACTATTATTTTGTATCACAATGCGATCTCGCGCGAATTTCAAAGCCGGCATGAAAGTGGCGCGTTCGTCGGGAAAAGCATCTTCAGTCTTTGGACCCTCGCTTGCCAAACAAAGGTAATCTCGTACGCAGTATCAGTGACCAAATGGTTTTACCGACAGATATAATTCATGGCAAGTCAAAATTTTATGCTTTTTATGTAGAGATGATGTTTGGAAGGAGCAGGGCCGATTATTTATAGCTAGTTATGATTTGGTCGATACTACAGATAGTACTGGCGCTCGAGTCAACCCATCAAGGTTTGGTTTTTCAAAGAGGAAAGATCATGTTGTTGTCGTTTCAACCTTAGCACGAGCCTTTAACTTGCGCCGATGAAATGCAGACGAAAGCGGGTTTAAAGCGATCAAAGAAGGACTAAATTGCAGCTGCTAGAAAATATAGCGGGAAGCGGTCAGAGAAGTCAGAGAAAGCGTTTCGTCGTGCGTAGAAGATTTCGTAAAGGTACTTGGTCGTGGATTAATGAATTGGGGAAATTAAAATGAGGGATTCATTCGAGAAGCAATATCGTACGATTTCCTGACTGTGGCAGATGACCGTCAAGTCAGAAACTCGGGCATTCACGTCGTTGTTGATTATGTAAGCTTAAATGATTTTTATTAACGGTCGCTGACTGGATTTAGCCTGAACGGTGATGCTCTCCAGCCCTTTTCAATTTTCTAAACATCGCCCGAAACTTGGTAAGTCTATTTTGGGTTCCTTTGTATCATCTTCAAATGGATACCTATTATCATTTTGGCGCAAAAGCGTTTTAAGGTCGACACTGATCTCTCGATCATTTCGTAAATTCTCAATAACTGCTAATAATGTGAAAGTGTAATGTTCATGGAGAATGTTGATGGAGATCACTACTTCTTAAGCCTGATCGCAAACGAGTCAGAGTTCAGTTTTTAAGTGTGGATCGTAGTGGATATTTTCAATTTTATCGAATCCCTTTTAAGAAAACAGGAAAATATAATTTGCCAAAGCCAGTGGCTATCAACAGTCAGTAAAAGTGAGTAAAATTTCATAAACCAAAAATTGATTTACAGATTAAAGCTTTATTTAATTTTGCACTGATTAGATCTGTGAAGATGATAGTGCATGCCCCACATTAAGTAAAAAAGTTTGGCCTTCCTGATGCAACAGAGCAGCTTAGCCTTTTAATTTTAGGCTGTGGCTCTGTGAGAATTTTATTCTCCGGGTGTCTCAGAGGGAACTAAAAACTGGCTTTTAGATATTGTTTGAATCTCTGTCCAGCATTATGAAAAAAAGTTTGGCCTTCCTGATTCAACAGAGCAACTTAGCCTTTTTAGGCTGTGGCTCTGTGAGAATTTTATTCTCCGGGGGTCTCAGAGGGAACTAAAAACTGGCTTTTAGATATTGTTTGAATCTCTGTCCAGCATTATGAAAAAAAGTTTGGCCTTCCTGATGCAACAGAGCAACTTAGCCTTTTTAGGCTGTGGCTCTGTGAGAATTTTATTCTCCGGGTGTCTCAGAGGGAACTAAAAACTGGCTTTTAGATATTGTTTGAATCTCTGTCCAGCATTAAGAAAAAAAGTTTGGCCTTCCTGATGCAACAGAGCAGCTTAGCCTTTTTAGGCTGTGGCTCTGTGAGAATTTTATTCTCCGGGTGTCTCAGAGGGAACTAAAAACTGGCTTTTGGATATTGTTTGAATCTCTGTCCAGCATTAAGAAAAAAAGTTTGGCCTTCCTGATTCAACAGAGCAGCTTAGCCTTTTTAGGCTGTGGCTCTGTGAGAATTTTATTCTCCGGGGGTCTCAGAGGGAACTAAAAACTGGCTTTTAGATATTGTTTGAATCTCTGTCCAGCATTAAGAAAAAAAGTTTGGCCTTCCTGATGCAACAGAGCAGCTTAGCCTTTTTAGGCTGTGGCTCTGTGAGAATTTTATTCTCCGGGTGTCTCAGAGGGAACTAAAAACTGGCTTTTAGATATTGTTTGAATCTCTGTCCAGCATTAAGAAAAAAAGTTTGGCCTTCCTGATTCAACAGAGCAGCTTAGCCTTTTTCGGCTGTGGCTCTGTGAGAATTTTATTCTCCGGGGGTCTCAGAGGGAACTAAAAACTGGCTTTTTAGATATTGTTTGAATCTCTGTCCAGCATTAAAAAAAAAGTTTGGCCTTCCTGATGCAACAGAGCAGCTTAGCCTTTTTAGGCTGTGGCTCTGTGAGAATTTTATTCTCCGGGTGTCTCAGAGGGAACTAAAAACTGGCTTTTAGATATTGTTTGAATCTCTGTCCAGCATTAAGAAAAAAAGTTTGGCCTTCCTGATGCAACAGAGCAGCTTAGCCTTTTTAGGCTGTGGCTCTGTGAGAATTTTATTCTCCGGGTGTCTCAGAGGGAACTAAAAACTTTCTTTTAGATATTGTTTGAATCTCCGTCTAGCATTAAGTAAAACGGTTTGGCCTTCCTGATTCAACAGAGCTGCTTAGCCTTTTTAGGCTGTGGCTCTGTGAGAATTTTATTCTCCGGGTGTCTCAGAGGGAACCAAAAACTCGCTTTTAGATATTGTTTGAATCTCTGACCAGCATTAAGACAAAAAGTTTGGCCTTCCTGATGCAACAGAGCAGCTTAGCCTTTTTAGGCTGTGGCTCTGTGAGAATTTTATTTAGTGTTTCGCTTACGTTTGTATTTAACCCCATCCAGATCCAGTGAGGCCTTTAAAACAGCGCGTCAATTTTAAAAGTTTTTTCATAAGGCAGTTTCCGTTTATTGCTTAGTGTTAGTTCTGCCCTTGAATAAAGTTACCATTAAAAAAGCCTTGCGTTCAGACATAAAATTAGGGAGATCTTGTAACCATGAATTGAAATATATGAAATGCGGACGGAGGTATGAAAGTGACCATGATCATCGCATTAAATTCGCAGCCTATTCGGTTGAAAAATAATCTGAAATATTTTGCAGTGTTATCGCAGAAAGTTAGAGGTAATATTATTCATTGTTGGGGAAAATACTCCGCGGCTTTAAATTAATAATTTCCTCGATGTTTTAATTCCGGTGGTGTAGTAACCTTTCCGTTAAGGCAGCTTCTAAAACGCACTCGAGAAAACCGCACAGTCTATGTGAACTCTCACTTTCACTTGCGAGAGAGGCAAAAAGAAAATAGAGTGACATTACTTTCAAACCATTACGTGTTACCTTAGGCCGCGGTTTCAGAAATCATTGGACCTCCAGGCCTCTTTCTTGGTGGGTTAGTTTAAGAAAATAAGTGCTTTAGTTTTCCAGTCTGCCTTATATGCTGTATTGAAATTATTCACGATAAATGGGGTTTGATAAAAGCGTTGGTTAAACAGAAAAGGGCTTAATTATGACGCGATTTTGTAATATACCAGTTAAATAACTGGCGCTTACAAGTAAACAAAATATACAGTGGAAAATTCCCCAGTAAGAAGTGCGTAAAATCACTCTTCTCGAAGTACAATAAATTTTAAGAGAAGCCACTACAGAGGCAAATGCATTCCGGTTCGGCAGAAAGACTTCCAATGCGGCTAATTTGTAGTTGAGTTTTTTGTTGAACCGAAATCTTGTTGACGTACAGGAATTCCGTTGATATGAGAATTTGTCACCTCCAAGCAAATGAGCCGTAAAAAGTTGATTACTTCTACAGAGCTCCCCTGCTGATGTTCGCCTATTGAATAGGCGAACATCAGCAGGGGTCTGTGATTTCAGATCTCTATGAATCTCGTCATGATGTGGGATGACATATCTAGATTACGATGAAACCATGACCCAAGATTTCACGCAACTGATGTCGCCTCTATGACTGTGTCACCTACAGTAATATCATTCAAATTGACTTTCTGTAACTGTTGCCTAGAACCTATAAGCATCAGTTCAGTTCATCGTTTAACATCAGTCGGTCTTCAATCATCCAGTCCCTCAATTCACGTATGCAGTCACGCAGAGCATTCAGCGCGGCCTCGTCCTCCCCTTGCACATCAGGACTGAATGCCAAATACAGCTGTGTTTCGTCTGCGCGGCAGTGTACACTTGGGAGGTGCTTGCTGACGATATCAAACAGCTTACTGATTCAGACCGTAAACAGAAGAGGCCCGAGACAACTCCCTTGAGGAACTCCTTAGGCCATCATTTACAGTGACACGCTGTGTACGATCCTCAACGTACGACGAAAACTATTCTAGAGCCTTGCCATCCACACCAAATCTCGACTTTAAACGATTTAGAAGAGTGTCGTGTCGAACAGTGTCAAAAGCGGCGCTTGCGCCTCCATATTCAACAAAATATCATTCTTTACTTTGAGCAGTGCTGACTCGGTGCTATGGTTTTGCTTATACGCGAACTGGAGTGGCATATGCAAATCATTAGTTGTCATATGGTCAATGAGCTGATTAGCCGCTGCCTTCTCTGACAGTTTGGAAACATAAGGGAGGTTGGGAGGTTATAGTTTTCAGGATCTCTCCAGATCAGGAACCCATAATGGGAGCTATTCTTTTTTGGTTGACTTCATCGTCTACTTCTTGTCGCAAGGAATTGATCGAGAAGGCAGGATTATCGGAAGAACGTTTTCGCTGCTTTCACAGCATCTGCCGGCGTGAGCCCATACCCTTACTCGGTTGTTACTTGTGACGCGTAACAATGAACATACTGTAAGCAATAGGCCATTTGCACGATGGCGTCATTTTACTACTACGACCAGGATTCTTTTGGATTTTCTTTTCATTTTTAAATTTGGTAGCCTTAGTGAGGTTTCAATAACAAAAGCCCTACTTTGCACAAGAAAGCACAACCCTGAAGGATCCTGGTCATAGTAGTAAAATGACGCCATCATGCAAATAAGCGTAGCTATTGTTTTAGTCAGAGTATGGAAACAATAGCAACACTTGTAAATTACACTATGCCTTGTAAAAGTTTTAATAAATTGGCCCTGCTGATGTACGAGTTTGAGCTGCATCTTGGGTATCGTTACATTAACAAAGTCTCCTTTTACCGACAAATTAGACCTCAATATACTAATATTAACGTTGCTCATGTCTCAACGTACACTGCGAGGCGAAAGTAAAACAGAAAGATTGGAACTAAAGGTAGAGTAATCTATTTCATTCAACTCACCATCAACTTGTTCGAAGACCATTGAATAAACAGACTGGCTAGCCTGAAATAATCCTTCACCGTTCTGGCCAAAGATAAAAACGATTTATTCATGTCATAAAATTGCCATCACTGTGAAACTCTTCTGGAAACAATTCATGGTCGACGTGACAAAAACTTATAGATATTTACACTTGTCAACATGCAAGAGTAGGTATTTGATTAATTGTTACAAACTCTAAGTCTTTTATGTACGGTGATATTTTCTAACAAGGGGAGATGGGCATCCTGGGGAGATGTGTCAAAGTGGACATTTTTTAATTACTAAGTGCGACTCGGTTTTGTGGCGAATTGCCACATGTGATCGGACTTAGTTACAGGTAATATAAACTGCGATGATTACTACAAATTGCAACAGCACTAGGTATTTAACAATTATTCCTCGAGCTCGAATGGGCTATTGACTCAGAGGCCATGAGGGCCAGAGGAATAGTTGTTTTAGTAAAATCCAACTGGTTGGTCAAAAATATCGAGACAAAACAACTTTAGCTAGCAAAACACAATTCAGCCGTTATTGTTTTGGTTTTCAAAGCCGGCGCTTGTCACTACTAGTGGGCCATAACATATAGTCTAGAAGTGGCTTAACCAATCAGAACGCAGCATTGATAATAAACCACTAGTTAGAGTCTATTAAAATGAGATACAACTGAGCGGTCGAGGTTAATGCAATCGGTGGACGAAAACGGCGAACCATGGCTTAAGCTCTCATGAAAATCAATGTGAATTAAGAGAGATTATTCTCTCTTGTGTTGATACATACATATCAGGCAAACCTTGGAAGAACATCAACGTCATAATTTGCAGGAAAAGTCCATCTAATACCGGATTAAAGGTGATGTTATAACAGGAAGGATTCGCAACAGCGATTTTCAGCGCAAAACAGCGAGCGTTGCAATGAAACAATGTTGTAATCATCCGAAACAATATCGCAACAAAGTTACAACTACGCTTCCTTGCGATAAAAATCGTGGCTGCGAATCGTCCATGGCCAGGGGCTGAGAAAGATAGCTAGACCGTCGAGGACAGAGCAATAGATATCTTATGTTGCTTCATACCACTGGATCCATGAGTGTGCTGATCTTTCTTAGACGGCGTACGGCTGGTTCCTTTGTTCCAATATAGAAAATGGTTGTAAAGACTATTCCTGTACCAGTGACAATCCATACAAGATGCTGCGTCGAAAGGGAAAGAAATGTAAACATTTGAAAATAATTTAAATACGAGTTTTTTTAAACATAAATATAGTGTTATTTCAATTTAAACTTTTATTGCAGATACGTACCTAACAATACTCTTGGAAAAAGTTTTTAGGTTTTTTAAAAAATGAAGTACACCTGCTCCACTAGCTAGTTATCAAAAAGAATGCAGGGACCATAAAAAAACGTGCGTTTGGTTGGGCGCCGGAACAATATGGTATTATGAATTCAATCTCATCATTATCATCATCATTAATCCAGTCAATTAGATTGCTTTGTTCATCAATGTAATTTCCATATCGTCACTGTATTTAGGTATACTTACTGCAAACTTTGTTACACTTTCCGGCCCTAGATCGTCTCCGCCATCCTGACCAAGCAGTCCCCAGGCAACCACATAAAGGTATATTCCACTAGCGAAACTAAGGACTGTCCTATATCAGAAAAAAAACAAGAAAAGAAAAAAAAAGGGTCGACTCTTACAGCATAAATTCGGGATGAGGGTATCTTTATTCCTATATACCACGTCTGGGTTTAAATTTCTTGAACTGAACTTACTCACTGACGTTATGGTAGCCTGTCAGATCAGGTGCCATTTGAGATTCAAAGCGGAAAAGAAAAAAAATATTTGAAAAATAAAAAAAAAGCGGAGGCAAAAATATGCACCCTTCAGTTTTAGCTGCGGTGATTATCAATATACACTTATAACCACTGGTGAGATCACATTCAGTCAGAGAACAGAATCCAAAAAATCAGATTCAAGAAATTGTGAAAAAAATAGTGTCATTGCTGTAACCTTATAGCAGTTAACGCTGCGCCTTCTTGCACCGTCCCAGCTGCAGTGAAGGTGATTGAAAGATGATTGATCTCCAGAATGTTGCCTGCTGCATTTATGATAACCATGACGCAATAATAGTAAAAAGGTTGCAACCAACTGACACCCTGATAATCGTTGCATACCAAACACCGATTGAACAGAAGAGGAAGTCCACCGGCCATCATAACCGTTCCCACTAAGTGCCACGACTTCCTTCGACCCAGCTTTTTGGAAATAAATGGAATTTGCACACGGTCGCCCAAGAAACCAGTTATTGGAGAGATAAAGGCGTCAGTTATTTGTCCAATAAGCATAGCCAATCCGACTTGGGATGCCGATAAACCAATCACTCGCATCAAAAATATGATGGAAAAAGAAATGTAAATTTGGCGGGAAATTTCGTTGAGAACGTTCCCGAGGCCACAGGAAAAGCGCTGTTTGATGTTTAACTTGGATTTTTGTTGGTTCTCCATCGCTGAATTCAACTGTAAAATATTAACATATAAATGAATTTTTTTCCAGTACATAAGAGTGCGGCAAGGGGTAGCTGACTGTGTCAACTGAGGACTCGACCGATTTCTACCCTACCTGCCATCTCGAAAATTATAGAAAGCACGGTTATGCACACTCAGCTGTTAGAGTACTTTCAAGCGGGTAATCTTTTAACTGGGTCTCAATCTGACTTTAGACCTCTACATTCAACCTCTACAGCTTTGTTAAGTGCAGTAAACCTTTGGCTTGCCAACACGGATGCTTGTAAACGTAATGGTAGTGTATTTATTGACTTAAAGAAAGCCTTCGACACTGTTGACCATAACATCTTACTACGTATAAGCTGTGTTGTTATGGCAATGTTCTTCCGTTCCTTAAATCATATTTGACTGGCAGAACACAGAGATGTTATGTAAATGTAGTCTTATCCACAGAAAAACATGTATCATGTGGCATTTCCGAGGGCTCTATACTTAGACCACTACTGGTCATAATTTATATATTACACGATTTTCCCAAATATCCCCAAATGTCTACGGCATACAGCACCTTTTATGTTTCCCGATGATACTTATACAACTACAGCTCATGAAGATATATCCACAATTGAATGTTCTTTAAATAGTGACTTAACTGCAGTACATAATTGGCTTTAGACAAACAAATTGAGTTGCAATACTTCTAAAACTAGTTATATAACAATTGGCTCTCGGCAAAATTTGGCAAATGCCAAGTTCATGAATCTAGAGTTGGATAATGGTTACAGCTATTGAGCATAAACCTTTTACTAAGTTATTGGGGGCTCATATTGATGAAATGCTAACCTGGGATAATCAGATCAAACATATTTCATCCAAAGTCTCTAATGACTTGGGAATGCTGTATTTAGCTAGAAAACTAACCGATAATCAAGAGACTCATAAAACTATTTACTATTCACTTGTCCAGCCCTACTTTGACTATTGTGATGTTGTATGGGGTGACTGCTCCAAAATACGTGCTGACAAATTGCAAAATTTGCATAATAGAGCAGTACGGATTATCACTCGGGTTAAATAAATAAATAATGACTGTTTATTAAGACTCATTGCAGCAATATACAGAATGGCTGGATTACAGAGCTATTTACAAAACATATAATACTAAAATATAATACAATAAATCCAATAAATACTAGAAAATATAATTGTACAAGCCACTAGGTATACTTATGCGTGACAAACTCTTGCGTGCGCTTGGTCCTACAGGTAGGACGAGTGGAGCGGCTAATGCCAGATCTAAGATTATAATTATGCACAACCTCCTCCTGTTTAGGGAGCATAAAATGTAAGGGGTGATTCTCATTCCGGAGTCTATCAATATAAACCTGGCATAGATGGGCGCGTCTGTCACTTAGAGTTGTTAAATTAAGGGCATTTAATGCCTCGTTGTAATTCATTAAAGGAAAAATGATGCGCATGCTGCCCTTTTCTGAATACTGTCAATCTTATAAGATAGAAAATCTGGTATATTTTGCCAGACAGGGGCAGCATATTCCAGAAGAGGACGAACAATGGTTGTATAAACCTTAGCCAGTGAAGCTGGAGGTGCACCACATTGCTCAAGGACCCTTAAAGAGTAAAGCCTCCTGTTTCCCTTTTGCACTATAACTTCTACATGATGGTTCCATTTCAGGTCATTACTTACATAAACGCCTAGTAACTTATATGTCATGACTCTCTCAATTGTGTTACTACCAATTACAATAGGATTCACAATAAAATTATGATTACTCATAAAATTAATTAGCATCTCCTTGCATTTAGTAGGGTTCAATTTCATTCTGTGATCTTCAGAAAAAGCATATAGATATCGTTTGTAACAAAATTGAGTAGACTGGCACTGTTCCTCGGGATTATTTCAAGGGCTGTGGTATCATCAACAAACTTTATTCTAAGGTTCCATGAGCGCAATCAATTATTTGTCATGATTGTAAACAAAATGACTCCTAACTTGGTACCTTGTGGTAAACCGCCCTTGGGAGTTTTTCACTCAGATATAACGTTCTCAATCCTCACAGCCTGAGTCCTGTTATACAGAGAAGCTATTATCCATTTAACTAGAACAGGGTGCACATGCATGTTCCTTAGCTCCTCACATGCATGTTCCTTAGCTCCTCATGCACATGCATGTTCCTTAGCTCCTCAATCAGCTCACTGTGGTATCAGATGTACTAAATTCTCTAGAGTGGTCAAACTTAGAGAAAGAAGCAAAAGCACTTACTAGTTACGATGTTTAAAGTATTCAATAATAATTGTCCGACGTACCTTCGGGAGCGGTTTCATAGAACCTCTGAAATTCATGAATATAATTTGTGGGGTTCTAACTATGATATCCGACTACCACTACCTAAAACAAATTTTCTTAGGCGTTCCTTTTCTTATCGGGGTGCAATGGCTTGGAACCAACTGTCAAATCAAACACGTGAGATGGGGGATCTTACTAGCTTTAAACTCGCGATATCCTAGGATATAACTTTTTATTATGTTTTTATCTCATTTCTTGTTATTATATTGTATTTTAAATTATTACTATTTTTTTTAATAGTACTATTAGTCTTGCTTACCATACAAACTAGATAGTCACGTTTATGAGAGTCGATGGGAACAGATAAAATTGTCAATTCTTGTGCTAATTATTGTTAGTTAATCACTAGTCTTAATTTTTATAACTAGTAATTATCACACAGCATGTCTGAAAACCAATACCGTGTTTAAATAAAGTTGATTGATTGATTGTCCTCAAAAGCAACGCAAACGATTCGTTAAAAGTAAATTAGCTGTAGTTTTTTTGTGGTTTATTTCAACAGCTCGCTTCCAGCATCCCTCAGGCAATAGATAATAGAGAGATTTTCAGAAACAGCTAAATAAAGATCATTTCTTATGGATAAAACTGGCGTGAATCTTATGATTTCCGTGTAGTTATAATGAACAGTAAACGACAGCTAAAGGGAAACTTGGTCACGCCGTACAAATTTATGTTTGTCGTTTGCCTTGAACGTGACTCTAAATCTCTCTGATGAGTACGTTAGCCAATCAGACGGCAGAATTCGTGGTAGTATGCTGGTTATATAACGTTATTGGATAAGGACTGGTGGAGACTGAAAACATGATTACTGGATAACAAATCATAATCTTTATCTTTAGAAGCCTGTGCGAAAGCTTCAATCTGTACATTAATTCAAGTCATCTCTGCATTCTGGCATGTGTAATAAGTAGTGGTAGTTACTATGAAATTTCTACCAGCTCAGTGTCCTTGAATTTGGTGCAAGTGTTTTATCCATTCAAAAATCTTTGAATCTGATCGAATACAGAGAGCTTATTGTAAAAAATTTACTATTCATCATGACACATCACATCTGAGTGCGCGGATATTTTTCACCAGGGTCCAGTTGTTCGAAAGCCGATTAGCGCTTAACCCGGGGTTAAATTTAACCCGGGTTTCTTTTTCTGGCGTTCAAAAGCATTTTGTCGCGTAATTTTCTCTGTTATTTTTAGAGCTTCCAATCATCAACTAGTAGACAAAAAGAATTAAAACTGAAATGTTTTTTAAGCTTTCAAATCTGAATTCAAATCTCGCACTAACCCTGGGTTATCTTAACCCAGCTTTGAACAACTCGGCCCAGAGCTTTTTCTGGTTGTTACGCCATACTGACGAGCCCCAAAGAGGGCGAAACAGCTGTCTATGGCTACAATCCCGCTCTGTTTTGAGTTCTTTCGGTGTCGTGTTGATGTCTTGCAGAGTTAATTTTCACGTAGTACGATCAGCATTGCAGTATTCTGCTTGCAGAATTTAATATGTCTACTTTTCATTTTTGCTGATCAGCTCTTTATAGACTCTACGTTCTCCGGCATATTCGTTTGCGGTCCTTTGCAGTCCTTTGTGGTTAATGTTTGTACCATTCATCCTGTATGCAGGAGTGCAGATTTGAATTTGATACTGATTGCGCAACGACTAACAGATTCATGAATGGAATATTGGTAGGTACCCTTGACCTGGCGTAGCTATGATGAAAACGCGGATTTCAAAGGCGCAGGATTGCATTGAATTACCTAATTTGTATTAACTAAAAATATAGATTTGTATACTTTTTATCAGCAAATGATGAGTGTCGGATTGAGCTAAAAACGATCAAATAAGAAGTAACTGAATGCTTGACGAAATTAACCATAATTGCATGGTGGTTAAATTTATGGCACTTTCATTTCGTTGAACGCATTTCGACATATTAGTTAACAAAAATTTAAAGTTTTTTTGGGAAACTATTGGCTTGGAATAACATATTCGTAACCAGCCTATTTTTCAGTACTTGCTATCTCCTTTAATTCGTGCTCCGTGGAAGCGAATCAGCTGATTGGAGTCTTTCGCTGGGGAAAAATGGCTTACAACGTGCAATGAATTAATGACTTCTTTTCCTTGCAGCGGCCATTAATTTTTAATTTGTGAACATTGACTTAATTTACAAAGCTATTTTAAAATTAACTTTACATTGACTTATATTTGTATTATCTTTCCTTTGAAAGCAAATTTCGCGCTTAAGCATAAGGGGTAAGCATTGATGAATGAATGACGCTTTATTGCATAATTAAAGTCAGACTGTAGTCTCCCTTATGGGCCTATTAAACGTAAATACAACAATTACGAAAACACTAAAATCTTTAAATACTAAATACTAAAGTACTAAGGTTAATTTTAAAGCATAAGCTTTAAGCATAAGAATAAAGACTCCCAAGCTGTTGAAGCTAGGTAAGCAGTTAGCGATTTATGAGGATTCAAATGGTGTTAGAGATTACGTAATCACGTCTCGCGTCAAGTAATTGTATTAAAAAATACTGGGGTAAAAAAGGCTGTTGAAGCTAGATAAGCGGTTAGAGATTTGTGAGGATTCAAATGGTGTTAGAGATTACGTAATTTCGTCTCTCGTCAAGTAATTGTACTAAAA